ACCCTGACGATCAGGAGGCTGCTCATGATGACATGTCTAGCTCCAGCGAATCCAATGCGTCACCGCGCAAGAAGACCGACGAGGATGATGATTACGAAGGTGAGAGCCAGGGCAGAAGATCGAGGAGACTACGCAGTCAGGCTGCTTCAAGGCAAAGGTCCGCAGAAGGGAGCGAGGACGAACTCGCTGCCGAGGTCGAAGAGCTGAAGCAAGATGGAAGGAAACCTCGACGTCCCAAAGAGGCAGAAATAACCTACGAGCCTCGCGGGCGACGGAAGGGTCCAAAGCCCAATTACAATCTGTTGCGAAACCTTCAACCGCTTGAAGAGGAGGATGAACCAGCTCCGTCTCCTTCAGCACGGGCTCGAAAGACGGGCGGTGGTGGAGGAGGCTGGAACCGCCCACTGCTGAACACGTATGGTCCATTCGGTGGCGGCGGCGGTCTACCACCAGTCCTGGGAGGAGCTCCGCCAAGGGCCCAGGGTGGTGTGGACTCTGACAGCAGCGACGATGAAGCCATGGCACGGCCGAGGCCCGTTGGCGGTACAGTTGGCATGACTCCAACTACTGCTGGTCCCTTCAACCTCTTCCCACAAACCCTCAATGCGGATCCTGCTCAAAATACGGCGGGCACACCAGCAAACCTGGGCAAGATCAAGGATAAGCAGGCGCTGGCCGACGCCGATCCCCTTGGAGTTGACCAGAGTGTCAGTTTTGACGGTGTAGGCGGTCTGCAAGGACACATTGATCAGCTAAAGTGAGTACTGCCCAACTTGACATACCTCAAGATCGCTAAGACATTATCAGAGAAATGGTCGCGCTGCCACTGTTATATCCAGAAATCTTCATGCGATTTAAGATCACCCCACCCCGTGGCGTACTATTTCACGGTCCGCCGGGTACGGGCAAGACCCTTCTTGCACGAGCTCTGGCTACGAGCGTCGGTTCCCAAGGCAAGAAGGTCACCTTTTACATGCGTAAAGGTGCAGATGCTTTGAGTAAGTGGGTCGGGGAAGCTGAAAGACAGTTACGGTTGCTGTTCGAAGAAGCTCGGAAAAACCAGCCAAGCATCATCTTCTTCGACGAAATCGATGGCCTCGCTCCGGTTCGCTCTAGCAAGCAAGAACAGATCCATGCCTCCATCGTCTCAACTCTCTTGGCTTTGATGGACGGCATGGATGGGAGAGGCCAGGTGATCGTCATCGGCGCCACCAATCGTCCCGACTCTATCGACCCTGCCCTTAGAAGACCGGGCCGTTTTGACCGCGAATTCTACTTTCCTCTGCCAGACACTGAGGCAAGAAAAGCCATCATTGACATCCATACGAGAGGCTGGGAACCTCCGTTACCGGAAGACACGAAGAAGGAATTGGCTGAGCAGACAAAGGGATACGGTGGCGCAGATCTGCGTGCTCTTTGCACAGAAGCTGCGCTCAACGCGGTGCAGCGTCGCTATCCTCAGATTTATAGCTCCAACCAAAAGCTCGCGATCGATCCGAAGACCATTGAAGTCACGCCCAAGGACTTCATGATCTCTATCAAGAAAATGACACCGTCCTCCGAGCGATCTGCATCCTCGGGTGCCGCTCCGCTTCCCGCAAGCGTTGCTCCACTGCTGCAGAGTCAGCTCGAGGAAATCCAGCGGGTGCTTGCTGAGATGTTGCCCCAGAGAAAGAGGCTAACGGCATTAGAAGAGGCTCAGTTCGAGGACGTCGCCGACGGTGGTAGTTTTGGCAGGGAAAGAATGCAGCAAGCGTTCGAAACTTCCAGAGTTTTCCGTCCCCGACTTCTCATTCACGGAAAGCTTGGTATGGGCCAACAGTATGTCGCTTCTGCTCTGCTCAACCATTTCGAAGGTCTGCATGTGCAAGCTCTGGATATTCCAACCCTCTTCAGTGACACGGCAAGCTCGCCCGAGGCAACTATCATCAGACTGTTCTCTGAGGTCAAGATGCACAAACCGAGTGTCATCTACATCCCCAACGTGCAGGAATGGTACAACACGGTTGGCCCAGCGGTAATCTCCACGTTTGTTGGGCTTCTGAGATCCATCAAGCCCACCGATCCTGTGCTGCTGCTCGGTTTTGCCGAAGGTGACTATGATGATATGGACGAGAGTATGCGACGAGAGTTCTTTGGGTACTCAAAGAAGAACCAATTTCCGTTGAGAGAACCTGGTCATGCAGAACGAGCCGAGTTCTTCCGCCACGTCAAAAGCTACATCAGCACGGCGCCTGATGATTTCCCAGACCCAGAACACAGGAAGAAACGCGAGCTCGAGAAGCTTGACGTGGCGCCTCCCGAACCCGAGAAGCCCAAGGCCCCCCCTTCGAAGGAGGAGCTCAAGGCGCAAAAGAGACGAGATCGACAGACGCTCAACTTGCTCAAAATACGCCTGCAACCGATTATGGATCAGATCAGGACCAAATACAAGACCTTCCGGACAGGTGTCATCGACGAAAGCCAATTCCGATATCTCTTCGATGAAGCCGATCCTGGCACGGTGACTTCGGATTTGAACACGGATGTCCTAGCTCGGGCAACCTACAGACCGTTCGAGATTGGGAAGGATGTACACGGAGTGCCTGTACTCGTTGACCAAGGCAATGGAAATTCCTATTACAACCTCGATTCGGTCACTATTGAGAAGCGCCTGAGTAATGGATATTACAAGCGGCCAAAGGACTTCCTGGCCGACATTAAGCGGTTAGCCAAAGATGCGAAAACGATTGGTGACGAACCGAGGCTGCTCAAAGCAAATGAGCTTTTGGCGAATGTCGAGGTCGACATAGCGTCTATCGAGATGGAGCCTGGTCTTGCCGCCGAATGTGAACGGGTCTATCAGCGGGAGCTTGAACGAGAGAAAGAGGCTCTAGAGAAAGCGAGACAGGATCAAATGCCGCCGCCCCAAGTCACCTCTAACATTCCACCAGATTCAGGACCCACCACGACGACCGACAGTGGTCCCATCCTGCTCGGAGTTCCCATGCAACGAAAGAGCGATATAGCCCAGCAGTTGGCCCCAATAACTGCTCAGGCAGCCTCTTCTGAGACTATCGTGACCAACGGTGTCCACCCAAGTCATGACGATACGCAGCGTCTGACCAACGGCTCCCAGAGCAACGGACATGAAGCTGATGCCGAAGGGGATACACACATGGAAGGTACAGACTCACATCCGGCTTCGGGCAACAAGAGCAACGAAACACAGCAGACGCCCACGACCAGTTCTTTCGGTGCTCGCAATTCCGCTCAGACCCGACCTTGGCACGACTACACTGCGCCTTCACAGCACCTCCTGAAGCAACAGGGGATCTCCCAGCCACCTTCGCAAACTGCTGCATTTACTCCCATGCCACATGGGAGTCAACCAGGCCAGTTCCTCAATGATGCTAGCACCACCGAGTCGCCAAATGAAACCAACAAGAAGACATCGCCGTCAGAGAACACCCAACTGGAGGTACCGCAAGACTCAGGCCCCGATCTTTATCCCTTTGATGAAAGGCGGTCCGCAGGAGGAAGCCAAATCCCTTCCACTCAAGGTACGGTCATGTCTGCGTTTGATGATTCCGATGATACCCCAAATTCCGCATCAGGAGCATGGTCGTCTCGTCATATGTTGGACCTTCCCAGACTGATACCTGCGACAGGGCAAAACTCTCAAGCGCAACCTGCCACAGTAGGTGACCGTCCATCCTCATCTCAAGGCCAAACCCTCGAATTCAACTCGCAGCATTCGACGGCCATGCCTCCGCCAATCGAAACGAGATCTCAGCGGCCGTCTAACGCAAGCCGGATCGACGATCTCCTAAATCCTTCGGCTTCCCCTCAACAACCGCCACCCACAGCTCGCCCCAACCTCATCCAAGTTGAACAGCAAGCCCTCTCGAACCTACACAAAGAAATCACCGATAAGACTAGCGGTCTATCTGTGGAACAACTCGAGCAGGTCAACAGTGTGTTGATGGACACGCTCTGGAGAACGAGGAGCGAGTGGGATAGGCATAAAGTCATGGAGAGCATCGCAGAGGCATTTTACGACGTCTTGAGAGACATGGAGGGGGTAGGGCAGGATTTGGGAGAAATGAGCTGGGGGAGGAAGGAATAGTGCACCGAATGGTGGACATTCCAACAAAATAGGGGGTGGGGGACAAGGCAACACCCGCCGATTATGAGCTTCTGTGTGCGCTGATACCGACATATGAACGAGAACGCCGAAACGGAAATGACACGCAGGGTCGGGAAACATGATGGCAGCAGGCCCTGTTCCTCCAGAAACGCAGTTGTCTCTCTCACACCCTCTCACAGACAAGGGACGAGTCGCATAGGAAATAGCGGCAGGAGAAGAAAGCTCAAGTACGGTACTGACCGTCGAATTGGCTTTGAAAATCATCTTCTTGGGGCCTCGGGCCATGTCATGTAGCAACAGATTAAGATACTCAAGCTTGAAAGAAAGACCACAAATGTAGAGAGTTTTTGGATTGTCATGGCGTGAAGAATTCATTCTCAAAATGCGCCTCGACAGATTTTCATCCGTCCTACTCGTACCACGCTGGAAGGTGATAGACGAATGTTGTAGCCGTCATGCTCATGGCGCCAACTATGCATGCATGACCTTGTCGCTGCCGAGTTTCCTTCAATATAGGAACCTCTCTCTCTCTCTCTCTCTCTCTCTCTGTGCGTTGTACGCACATCGTCAGGCTCAGGCTCAGGGTGACGACCCTCATACATACATAGGTGGCATACCATCCTATACCGTGCCGTGCCGTGCCGTGGATTTCATAGTGGCGACAGGTACTACTACTGGAAAAGGTATCGGTATCGGTACATAACGACTTGTAGGATAGGATGTCTCCTCAAGGCATTATTTACACGTCTAATTCTATCTATCTATTCTTCTCTTTTCCTTCGTGAGGGGGTCAGAAGTCAGAAGTCTGATGTCAGAAGTCAGAAGTCTGGTCTGTTTTCTGAGACTGGATTTCTAAGTAGTCGTGGTGTGGTCATTTCGTCTTCTTTTTCGTCTTCTCGTGCCCCTTGTTTGTCTCCCGCGCAGGCAAGGCATACAGTCCGCCTCCTACAAAGACGACGGCCGCCCCGAGCAGCACGCCCCATGGCAACTCGTTCCCGAACAGCCAGATGCTCAGCACCAGACTGACGAGCTTGCGGATGTTCAGCACGATGCTCACCGTCAGGGACGACGACTGGGCTGATAGCCTGTTCACGCCGACGATGCAGAGCAGCTGCGTGGCCGCGTTGGCTGCGAGGAGCAGAACCGGGCGGGGGAGCAGGATTGTGGACGAGAGACGGTCGAGAAGAACCGAGGGTGACGAGAATGGAGATGATGGCGCTGCTGCTGCTGCTGCTGCTGGAGAAAAACTCGACTTCGACTGTACGGGGACGGCCATCAAGTCGAAGAACTCGGACGTGAGGGGCCGGATCTGGCCGAGGAACCAGGGCAATGACATGGCGTGGCTGTAGAAGAGGGTCTCCGCCGTGATGTCCCCGGACCGGCCGTGTGTAGCGTACATGTCGTCGGAGTAGAGGCCCATGCAGGCCGAGAGGACGAGCGCCGACGCGAGCAACGCGAAACCCGGGGTCTGGGACAATGTGCCTCCCCCAGCAGCAGCTCCGGTCGACGGCCGTGTTGATGCGGCTATTCCGTCGTCTTCGTGGACTGCGGCGGTGGTGGCCTGGACGGCGGTCTGCTTCGCCGCCGCGTCGCTGAACGCCGCGACCACGACGCCCACGAAAAGCAAGACCACGGCCACCACCTTCTGCGCGGGGTACCTCCGTCCTTTGACAAACCTGCCGGCCAGCATGGTCGTCACGGGCCCGGCGCTCCGCAGGATGATGTGTAGAGGGATCCCAATCTTGTACCGGAACGCCGTGTTGTTCAAGATGTTGATGCTCAGAAAATAGGCCGTGTAGATGACCCACTTGCGGATCGGGATATTGCGTTCCTTGAGGAAGAGGTTGCGGACGCCGCGTGAGGGTGAGAAGTGCCGCGGCAGAGTGAAGAGTGAGACGAGCAGGAATTGGGACGCCGTCAAGAGGCTGCCGGACGAAGGCGACGCAGATATCAGGGACTCGAGCGTATAGACGTTGGAGCAGCAGCCACCGAAGATGAGGATCAGGGTAGGGGCCCAGATCTGGAGGATTGAAAGCGTCGTTGATGAGGGCGCCTCAGGCGACGCAGGTGAAGAGGGCGCGGACTTCGGGTTAGATTGCGAGACTGTTCCGTTGGGCGTGAACTCCCCGTTGGCATGGGGTTGAGGTTCATGGGTTGAGGGTTCGCGTCTCTTCCGCGCCGCAGAGTCCAATTGTGAAGCCATCTTAGACAGCGGGCAAAGAACCGGGAAGCAGTATGGATGAGAGAGGGGCAAGGGAACTTCCTGTCACCGCCAGCTTTGGTGGTACATTTTCGGGGCGACTTGCGTCCAGTCTGCTCTGTGGCTGGACCTGGAGTGCAAGGAGACAGTGCTGGCCGCGAGCAACCACGGAGTGCTACACTGCAAATGGAGGACAATTTTGAGGCACTGGAGTGTGACGAGGCTGCGGGCCCGTGAGGCGAGGCTGAGATATTGAAGTCTTCGACCGAAGTTCAACCGGGACACCTCGACATCGACATGCCTTGTTCTCAGATATCCTCCCGGGCGTCGACCCAAACGTGACGACTCCGTGTACCGGAGTATAGCTCACTGAGTATATTACCGTTTCATTACTACAGTGTACACTTATGTGCCTGTGTTGAGAACAATGCCTTGGTCAACAACCCTGCCTCAGCAGTAGGCATTGTGCCACGACGCTCTATCCCTCTGCAAAGAGAACTGCGTCCGTCCACGCCAAACCACTTGGGAAGCTCTGGCACACACACAGAGATCGGCCAAACAACCTCACGAGAAGTGAGGTTGTCCTCATTCACCACTTCGCCGTCAGCATATTGCTCAACCTCACACCCACTTGGATCCATCCAGTAGTCAAAGATCTGACTCCCTCAAGATGTGCCGTCCCACAAACCCAGGCAGGCATCTGCTTGTTCTTGCCAACCACTCGTGGCCGATCAATTGCGTCCCAAAGTCCGGGACCTCGTAGAGCTGCGGTGGATGTACGTCTCCTCCACCTCTGGCGGCGCCCATTGCATGAAGAAGATATGATGGTCCACCCACTCCTCGCCCAGATCCCAGTGCACGAACGTCAGGACTTCAACATTCGGGAACTGCGGATACCAGAGAATGTCTGTGTGCACGAAGTTGAATTTGCTGGTGTAGAAGTCCAACTCGTCATCGAAGTGCTTGCACGCGTAGCCGAAATGGCACAGCTTGTGCACAAGAGCAGAACCCTCGTGGTATCATTGGGACTGACCGAGCCGGCGCTGTGCGAAGGGCGTATAGAAAGGTCCTTGGCTGTCGTGCGCCGCCATAGGTTCCGCGCCCGTGTTCGCATTGGCCGCGCGCTTTGTCTCGCCATAGACGACGTGCATGAACGTTCCGTTGGGACGGGCGATCGTGATTAGTCGCCCCTCCGCCAGGCGCATGGTTGAGACTTGTAACGACCACGCCGGGCAACCTGGCGGCCCTGTTGAATTTCAGCCTTGTCCTTCGCAACGAAGACCGGGCCTGGGAACTTCGGATTTCCATCTCCGAAGACGAGTCCATAGCCACGTACACGTACGGATGTCTCACCTAGCCGCGAAAGTAGGTGGTGTGCTTGCCATCTCTCTTCTCCTCGGCGGAGCCGCAATCTTTGGCCAACTTGTCGAACGCGTGGAGGTCTGGCTGCTCGATGTAGACGTGCGCCAGACAGAGGAGCTGGACCTTTGACATGTCGTTCTTGACCTGAGGAATGGGCATGGTGAGAACGATGCGCTTTCGGACGTATCTGTGAAGTAAGAGAGAATCTCAAGGACATTGACCGTTTTTGATCCCTCCCTTCCACGAGAGCCGTATCGAAGGCCAACTGAGTCAGTCACATCCTGGATCCCGCGTCTCTTAAGTCCTTACATGCGTGGCTCTCTCGGTCCATTCTTAACCATGTATTCATGATCTCGCGGTGTCGGAAAGGCCTATAGAGCCGCTGTCTCACAATCAAAGCCGGTATGTGTCGATGGGGCGACTTGCCGTGGCCCGTCGTCTCGAGACCATCAATCAGATCATGTGCAGGGACAGAAGTCGTCCCGCCCGTGCCCCGATTCACGTCCCGGCCCTACCTTGGACTGATAATTGTGCAAGAACAGGATGAATCGAGCCTCCCATAAGCACCTCTGAAATCTTCCAGATCTCGAATGCAGCACAGCGCTTCCGGCTCAAGCAGTCTGCAATCGGGGTCCCCAAGAAGTCAACGGCACGAGAGTCAATTCACTGCTCGTGATGCACGTCTCGGCTGAGATCAAATTGACCAATCACTGTACTCCGTACGCAGGGTCCTTCATAAGGCTGCGCAGCCTCGCGCTCGCAATAATCCAGGGATATTACTTGAACGTGCACAATTTCTCGCAACAACAGCCTTCGAACTGAGACGGTCAGTCTCCCACCAGAGCAAAGTTGGCAGCAATCTCTGGCTGAGCGGTTCAAGCAGTTTGTGATGTAAAAAAAACCCCTGATCGTGCAGTTTAGCTGCTTTAGGTTACCCCAAAGTACCAGGTTGGCGGTTTTCAGACCTGGATTCTGTTTTTTGGGGACTTTTTGACACCTGAGAATGTGATTTTGGTGTGGACAGAAGAGGGCTATGAAGCCACGCGAGGGTCGGGGGTGAGTTGAGACAGGTTGGGGGTGAGTTGAGTTGATGGGGGCGGCCTTCTTGACCAACTCTGTCTTCACTGCCGTCGACACCGGCGTGGACTTCACCACAACCAACTCATCGAGAGCACATGCATGGGATTCTCTGAGTTGACAGAGGCAGTGGACCATGGATGTGTAAGCGATCGTTGTCAATCATCCTCGACCCCGGATCCGTTATGGCTGTGCGCACTCAACCTTCCAGTCAGGGGTGTTGGAAGCACAATATCTGCTCATATGGATATCTTCCTTTTAAGCAGCCAATGCGGCGGCGGGTCTGATCCATACGGTGGATTACTGGAGACGTGGAGCTGCTGGGATATGACACTGTCTCTGCCTCTGCGCTGTTCCGACCTTTCCATAGCATTCCCACCTCCGCCTGTTCTGCGGAATCCGTGTAGTTTAATTCGACCGTGCGTATTGGGACAAGTCCCCCCCCTGGAGCAAGGAGAGAAGCTGTATCAGCGACAGTCAATCAGCGTGTCGTTGGGTGAGCAGCAGTTCCATGTACTTGGATCACAACGGTGCGATACGTTGCCTGCCCATTCTGGCCGTCCCTGTGTTCTCAGCTCAATCGTCGAGGTGGACGCGCTTGATGGAACCACGGAGGACGCTTACACAGTAGATGATATTCGTTGGATCGCTTTCAACACAGAGTGATGATGGCCTTGAACATGGATGAATACACAATAGGTTGAGCTTGGAGCTACAGGACCTTTGCCCCTCCGGTGTCCCACATTGTCCCGCGTAACTCCAAAACCAGCCAGCAAACCATCGGAAGGACAGAGTCCTCATTGAATCACGAAACTCCTATGCTGTCTCCCAGCGGGTATCTTTCCAAGAAACTCCTGCACATCTCGACAGTCTTCATTGAATGGAATCACCAAGTAGAGCGTGCCAACCCTCTCCCAACGTTCGGGCATGGATAACGGTACTCTTCGCAGCGTCAGAAACCGAGCCGTCCCGTGTTCATTCACGAGGTATTGCCCAGCGAACATCAGCACGCTGACCAGTTCTCCAGAGACATGCTTGGCGGTCCACTCGCGCTCGGTCATGGCAACCGACATACCGACGCAGGATAGCCGACCCCCTATCCTATACCACTTTGCGTCCCAGCTGAGTTCCTGGGCCTTGGCCTTTTGACGCCCGGGCCTTCCGATTGCCTTTGCCCAATACCATTTCTTCTTAACCTGCTCTACTCTTTGGAACTCGTTCAGAAGAAACGGTTTCTTGATTTCAAGCAAAGTTAGAGGCGCCCCGCTGACGAGATGGGCGGCAGAATGCGTCTCTTGCAGGCGAATGGGACGGGCGTAGTCGGCACCATAAAGAGAAATATCTGCAGCCCACAGTAGCTTCAGGGACTCGGCGTTGATCAGGTCGCTCATGTAGGCGCAGTGCTCCAGGTTGGGAGGCGCCCGCCAGCTCACCGTGCCGACCCACCCCGCCCATGTCCACGACGGCAGATTGCTCTTTCGCCGACACGCCTCCGACACATACATGAGTAGATCCGAGCTGGTACGGTGGTACCACGAGGAGACTGACAAGGCGAAGGTGATTTGCGCACCAGAGCGACCTTGGACAATGTCGTCCGTCCACACGGGTAGTCCATGCAGTAGGTACAGCTGCCTGGTTTGCGCGTACAATCCGAATATGCCTTGAAGTGCGGAGAGCGTGTCTTCGTCACGCGTCAGTTGCCTCTTGGAGTATTCACGAGTGTGCTCGTTGAGACCACGCAACTGTGCGCGGACAGTCACTTCTCCTTGGGTTGGAAAGCCGTAGGCGAGGCGGTGGCCCTCGTCTTGAGTGACGAGCGAGTCCTGGGCGTCGCCGCAGCTTCCACTATAAGCGTCTCCCTTGAAAATGCCTGAGAGCATGTAATCTGCCATGACAAATTCCGTATTATCTTCCGCTTCGGTAACAGGCACATGGAAAACCACCACGTCGATGCTTTCCTGGGCAGCCATGTTGCGGCACTCCCAATACATCTGCTCGTCTGTGAAGACTAAGCGTCGATTAGAGAGCACGCCTTCCTGATAGGTCCAGCCTCGAGTCCAGTAGGTCGACTCGAGGATGTCGCGACGGGGATCGCGGAGCATCGAGAGCAGTACACTTCCACTGTCAAGATAGTACTTTGGCTGTGGTCTTCGAGGTCTGGATCGTACGCCCGGGAGGCCGTGACTCGCGCCAGAGCCGGCGGCCGCTACTATGGTAAGCTCTGCTGCTTCATAGATTGTTGTCATCCTCGAAATCAGGTAGGCCATTTCGTCAGCGTCAGCTTGGTTGATGCAGAGCCGGTCAATCCACAGGTAGTCGAATCCTAGTTTCTTGGTAACTTCGACGGCGTCGAGCACGGTCTCCGGCCAGTGTGCTAGATCCTTTGGCGTTGATCCCCAGACATAGCTTAGAGCAAGGTATGTGGTTCCCCATGGCTTCTCCTCAACAACGGGAGGTTCCTTGGTACAGTCGACGAGGCGAAAGCCCGACAGGATGGGTTCGTGAGATGTCCGCCTCTTACAACAGCTGCCATGGGCTTCCTGACACATACCGAGCCACTGCCGTGCACCATCAAGGTTCGGTCCTTCGTCAAGTTCCCGCGCGAGAAGTATCTGCTTTTCTTTAGCAATTTGGGAATCCTCCTTGGGCCGTAGACGGTAGATTGCCCCCGTAGCCGGAACGTCGTCGTCCAGCCAGTTTGCTTCGTAGCCACATGACGGGAGAGTATCGAGATCCGGAACCACTGTCATAAAAACCGAGTCTCTGTTATGCTCATACTTTTGTGGGTTGCGCTTGGGCAGCCAGCCAGCCCTGAAAAGCCAACTATCACTGCAGCGGAACGCCAGAAGTTTGTGTCGCTTGTGGCTGTCCGGCTGGACTCTCAGCGACCGAAAGAACTCACAAAGTGGGCAGTCTGACGGTTTGGACAGGGAGTCATTGAATCGATGTGCCAGAATCGCGTCGGCATAGTACCAGCTTCCATCGGAAGCTTTGTATATATCTTCTGGAGGAGACACCAACCCGGCTCTAACCTGCCGGTATGCCTCATGGGCTCTGTCGAACTTTGCGTCGAGGTCCAGCTGTTGGCAGACATCACATAGTGGTGATGATAAGTCCGTCACGAATCTGGGACGTTTGCTGCGCAGTCCGTTCTCCCCGTCATCCGGAGAGGTTGGACTTGTCTCTCTCTCGGATAGCTTGCGCACCGTTGGGGCATTCATGTTCTTTCAGAGACGATCGACTACCGAATTACTGGTAGGCCGTCAGAGGTAAGGGTAGAACGAGCATCAGGCTGAGGAATACGCACTGTATGTATCGATGTATACAAAATGCCTTGGTAGAGCAGCAGCCAGTTTCATTCTGACTGGCGCTTTCGACGCGTAACGTAGACGATTTCCTTGCAGTAACTTGGAGAGAGCATGATGTTCGATGATGAGGCTAAGTAGTCAATGGGCATCTCTGAGGCTGCGGATGGACTTGTACTTGTAGAGCGTGAAAGACAGCCTCTCCATTCCACTGCCTACCGTAGCCTCATGCAGCTGAGACACTGCCCAAGACTGAGTGCGTGGACCAAAGGTCCTGACTGGGCAACTTACGGAGGGTCTCGAGCCCGTAGCGCCTTCCGATTCTCCGATATCTCCTGGTTCGTACCGCTGTGAAGATCATGGAAGAAGAGTGCATCATTGTCGCTTGGGGCCAAGGGCTTTTTGCGCCCGCCTCCGGATCAAGGCGTTAGAGGCGTCTCAACTGTTTCACTAGCACACGCCACATACTGACGCCGGCCTCGAGCTGTGACAACTAAAATGAAAAGACAATCATGTTCGACGGTGGCATCGCACTGAGTATTGCGTCGTCGAGAACCAGTCCGAAGAGATCGATGTATCATCTCACTGATTTACCACGTAGCGATGCTCCATGACAGTAAGAAGTCATTGGCTGTTTGGACTTCTTGAATTCAAGGTCCGGAGACGTCGCGTCCACCATCGCGACGCGTCATTGCTGCCTAGAGTGGATCGATGCGGGGAAGTCACGGGTAAAGATCTCGCACGTGACGACAAGCTAATTAATGGTGGAGACAGAGCGCCCGTTGAACGGGTACGAGTCCATAACACAGCCCTCTCGAGCTTCTGCCTCTCTCCAGGAGCTTCGTAAGTATTCGGCCAACAGACAGGTGCCATCGAGCTTGGCGTGGCTCCGCTAAACGCCTGTCGTGCTAATTAACCATTTCTGATGCGGCGAGAACAGTTCTAGCATTTCAGACAGATTCAAGCAGCCCGCGTACATACGAGCAGTAGTCACGGCAGCCTTGGAATCGCAACTCGCTCGTGGCTTCTTGTGGCTTCGGGGGCTGTGACTACGTACAATGTACCCTGAAACCCAGCCTCACGGGGACACAAAAGTGCCGCACTAATCAATGACCAACGACCAATAACCTCTACCTGTCATTGAGTCCAAGGTGACAAACTAGCTGGTGAGGCGATGCAAGAGACACGTACACATACAGAGGACGGGATCGTGAGTTCCCTCCGCTCTTTCCGCAGCTGCGCATAGGCAGACAATACATTCCCAGGAGAGTTTTTCCTTCCGTCTGATGGGAAGTTCGAAGGCTTCCCTCCCATCACTTTCCGCTTTTGTGCGTTGACGATGCCCTTCCCGCTCGTTGATGTACATTTCGCTTTATTGACCAATCGACTGACCGGCCGACCACCGTTGAGGCAATTGGTCCGCGATATAGGCTTTGTTGTGGTTGCTTGCTCGAACAGAACCCCGAATTGGTTCTCTTCGAAAAGGAGGGGCGACCCCCTTCACTCTTTTCCGTGATATGCATGCGGTCTTGAGCCGTCTGTGGGTCGTGCAGGAAATCGCAGTTGCGCACCCTGACCCGCTACTTGTTTGTGGCACGGAGTGCGCTCCCTGGAACGCGATCGAGAAATTGAAAGAGTGTGCCTTTGATGCGGAGCCAGCGTCTGGTTTTTGGGATCTTATAAAGGCATCTGGCATGGGAATCATCTGCGACATGGTGTTGGTTCGAAATCGCGTCCAGGCTGCCGGTCACCCATCGTGGAGTCACTTGATGGAAACAACGACACGGCGTAAGTTCACCGAGCCGCTCGACAGTGTCTATGCTCTTCTGGGACTGGCGAGTCCAGAGATGTAGGACGCAATACCCGTTGACTACAATGCAAGCATTGGCCGATTGTATGTGGATGTCGCCAGAGCGTGGGTCGCGATCGAGCAAAATCTGAAACTTGCTGTCATATGTCCAGCATCTGGAGGCCAGCGCATCGGACGTCTCCCTGGACGACGCGCAGTGGCAAATGATGCAAGCAGCGAGGAAGGCGCAACAATCTACACGGGTCCTCCCATCCTGGGTTCCGAACTGGTCACAGCCCAATAAGCAGCGGCATCAACTACTTTATCGCGAGAATACATACCATGCCTCATTGGGGAGGAAAGCAGAGGTGGCTTTCTGTGAGACCCGGAGGTCCATCACGGTTAGTGGAGTGCACGTGGACTCGGTAGCTGTGGTCCATGACGCCAAATGCGACGCGTCCGAAGTGATGAAGTCGCTCAAGGAACTGGAATTTGCAGCCTCGGCAGCGTCTTCGATCCTGATAGATGGCGACACCATGAGGAGGGAGGTGCTGGAGGACGACTTCTGGAGAACATTGGTCGCCAACAAGACGGAATCAGGTGAAACGCCTGCGCCGGATGAGTGGGCAGCCGGACATTCAAGGTCATCAAGAAGGAAGTCCCAGTCCCAGATCATTTCCGACCCGAAAAGGAACCGGTCGAACGGTTTGCGAGCTTCGTCATCCCGTTGCGGACGCAGCTGAATCATGCCATGGAAGGAAGGCGATTGTTCGTCACCCAACGGGGTCTCTTTGGTATTGGACCATGTCCCATGCGTAGAGGTGACGCTGTTTGTGTACTGTTTGGGGCAGACCTCCCTATGATCTTGCGTCAACATGGTGACTATTCGAGGTTGTTGGGAGAATCTTAAGTTCATCGACTTGCCGGTGGTGGAAGGTGTTCGGCTATGTACGGAACGCCAGGGAAGGCTTCCAGAAGAGGAGTTCGTTATTCGATAGTTCTGTTTTACAGAGGATCTTCACGGGGCGCCTTCACTTCCTGCCCAGCCCTGGGAGAGGGATGACACGTCGCGAGCTCGTCCACGGGGCATAGGTAGTTCGAGAGCTTGTCCCTCTCAAATAAACCTCAATAACGCTGCGGATGACTTTTGTGGTGCCCTCCACAGATTTCCTCATTAAGACGACCTACGCCTCCAGGGTGTCGCCAGAGCGGGTCGCTCAGTCCTCGTTGAATACTTAATGCTGGCCTCACTCTATCGCGGAGGACACCTTGACCGAAACAGCCGCCGCATTGTCGACGCGGCCGAAAAACACACCTGGTGTATACATTTCCTCATTTTGGTTACAACGAGCAAAGCCCGGCGCGCCACAAGTCCACCGTACTGTAGTTGCGACCAAGACAGTGATCTCTCGGTCAATCGAGAGCCGCTCCCGGGGGAAAAAGAACCCGCGTCTCGTGGATACACACTCTGGGCTTCCCGTGAAGCCCATGGCTCGGAGGGCTATGTATGCCGACTCCTGAAGAGATTCTGGCGATCCGACGGCCCGAATCTTGCTCGAGGCAATCCATCTTTCGACAAAGTCCTTCCCATCTTCGTCTAGGGGCGCGTTGACGAGCGGCAGCATCGCGTCCAAATAGAACGAACCGGAGTCTGCATGACCTGGCTGACCTGCCCCGAAACAATGCCAAGGCAAGATGGACGGGAGATCTCCCGACACCGGACGCCAGCGTCTTGACGGCCTCGTGTCCCGCTTCGCGGCCGAGTAAATGAACGAATAGTCGCCCTTGCGCTCACAAAGGGACATGAAGGCCTCACAGGGATCCAAGACCGGACAGGAGCTGGCGCGCACCGTGCTGATAGCGCCCATCATGGCGTAGAAGTGATCTTCGCGACGGCCTTGCGTACGCCGATCCATGTTCGACATGACTTGCAGCGCTGACCGCTCCTGGTACCCTGCGATCATGTAGTCGGCAATCAGATCCTCGAAGGCGTCGAGCCGAGGATATCGCTGCCTCTTGTCACTTGCGAGTCCTGACCCGCCGTCAAGACGAGAAAGCGTGTAGCCTAGGCAATTCAAGAAATGACTGCCTTGCACGATGGCCCCGTGGGATTCCTCGCACGAAATGTACAGACTCCGGCTGTTTACGGCCTCCTGGTACGTCCATGCCCTCGTGACCCATTCCTCTTGCTCCAAGAGATCGAGATGGACGCGGTCGATGTGGTCGGAGGTGCTCATCTGCTCGAGCACCGGGCGCGCGGCCTTTGAGAGCACGACAATGACTTCCTCCGCCTGCGAGTAAATGAAGCCCATGCTCTCCAGGGTATGAGCCCTCTCCGGCGTGTCGACAGGCACACAGAATGCATCGATCCAGATCCGAGAACAAGCCGGGCGGTGTCTGATCACTGCATTCAAAGCCGGGATGGTTCGGTCAGAAATATCATAGGAGGGGTGGAACGGGCTGCGTTCTCTTTCCACACCCCATGTATAGGATACACAAGTGAATGGTGGATCCGCGGTGTCAGATACGTCTAAGTCTTGGGTGGCCAGTCGCCAGTGCAGCCCTTCAATTTCGACTGAACCAGGTCCACGCTCAGCATCTTTGCTGAGAAGATACAGCAGCATGGAGATGGTTTGAGGATCTGCTGTCCCACAGAGGAGGGAGTCGTGAGGTCCTTAGGTTGGTGTCTCAATCGCCAAGGTTTAGCATCTCACGAAACCGGGAGCCGCGAGTCGTGTTTGATAAGTAATTGATTACCATAGAAGGGACCACGGAGAGGGTCTGGCCACCCCAAGACCCTCACACACTGCGCTGAAGTCGATCAAGAAAGACCACTTTACAAGTCTCGAATGGCTGAGCCGAAGTTGAGCCAGAGTGACATGGCCAGCATGGCTGTTTGACGAGTGGACCACGCAGGCCTCGCACCATTAATACTCCGGCTCGTGGGTGCTCTTGTATACATCCACTCCGCCTTACCGCTCTTACAGTATGATGGTCGTGAACTTGCCGTACCAATCGGTGCCTAGGCGGTGTTGCCAGAGGGCCTTCAAGACGAAGAACATTCGCGGAGGAAAGAATTGATTCGAGCGTGCATTGCGGTTGGGAGATAGTCTCGCAGATCCAGAGGTAGCCCAGTTTGATACGATCACTGAGAATCGCCATTATCTATACATTGACTGATTAACAGCTAATTCGTCGCTCTGTATTCCACATTGAGACCACAGTCGTGACCAAATGATGCCCCGTGAAAGGTCGCCCAGGAGGCATACGTCCACTGTCATGGTCACGGTCATGTTCATGTTCACGTTCATGGCCATGACCATGTCGATATCCGTGGCCATACCCGCACTCGACCTTCGCGGCAGCGGCAGTGCCGCTGACATCTATCTTTGCAGCCATCGCTATATCGCGTCTATGGTCAGGGAAGTTGAGTCCACGTCCGCACTCTCGCACACGCTCTCGCTCAGCATCTCAACCGCCCGTCATAGCTCAGGATCGTACTCTGTCTAGGGGCCGTTGCATCCGCGCAGCGCAACTACGCAACGAGTCACGCGGTCCCAAGAGCACATCCAATGACGAAAAACCTGGCCCCGACGTGGACGCGCGCGACGAAAACCTGCGTTGAGCTTGTTGAAGAAGGTTGGGACTTGTGCTGGTATACCCGTCTATGACGCTGAGGATGCGGACTCTGAAGGACCCGGTCCACGTGTCTGCCATGTTCTTTATGGACGGCTGGCAGGCCATCTGGAAGACATGGTCGGTGGAATCGTCGCCCACGGCCTGTTGTTCGTAGGACAGCTGGCCGATTGATATTGCTCTGTCGGCGTGTCCGGCCGTATGGTTACAACAGGGACGGGTGAGCACTTCTTGATTCAACATGGCCACTACAATTCCCCGTTACCTGTACGTGATCTCAAAGGTCGGCTGTACAAATAGGTGATATGAAAAATGGGATTTTCGATCGAGCGTGCTCAAGTGAGCGATGGAGCTGACCTGACGATCCGTGCTCTGAAGACCAAGGGCGAAGACATATGCAAAGTTTGTCGGGTGGGCGGATCATCTGCAGTCCTCGCAAGCTTCGCCATTCTTTTGCCCATCTTGGACTTCAGCATCAGGTCTGGATTCAGGTTTGCTAGACGCTTCTGGTGTGGCTGGCTGAGTACTGCCCTTCTTCAAGCTTCGGTCAATATGGCCAAGATCTCTGCCGGGCTCGATGATATTGCGCACTCGGTTTTTCAGCTCTTTCGTCTCAGGAAAGCCGCCGTCAATCTTGCGATCCCATATCACCGTCTCTGTCACCCGGACAGTCGCGTCCGACGACGGTGCTGTTTCAGCAATCGACTGCGCTGTGCTACTGGTGGCATGCGTCATCTTGACAGTGAATATCCCACCAGTCACTGGGATCAGAGCGATCTCGCCAATGCTGGTACTGAATGTCTGGAGCAGCTCTTGGGCAAACTGCGGGTAGATTCGGTCAGCAAAGACAGCCCGGGCCAGACTGCCGCGCTCAGACAGAATGCCACTCCCGTTCCGAGCGACGCCGCTATCGCAGAGATTTCAGGAGAGGATGTCGCACTCACGTAGGCAGCCCTCAGATTCCATTTACACTGAGTGCAGAACTCAATGGCGACCCGTGGCACCTTGACCCTGGAAGAAGCCTCGCTTGCCATTGTTGGATGTGGTTGGTGCAATATGCAACACTATTTTGGCTAGAACTCTCGCTCTTCCGTCAAAGACGATAACTAATTATCTGATGCAGGAATCAGGGGCTTGCAGCTTCTGTGTAGCAGAGTGACCTTTTGGAGGTATGACTTTGCGCGAATAGAAAGTGACCTGATTTGCCGGGAATGAAGACACCACAATAGTGACAGGAAATGACACCGTTGACGAGACGATAAGACCTGGCCGCGGTAACCCCGTATGCGTAATGTGGTGCTCGGCGAGACCTCAGGCTCAAAGGACATCACTGGACCATCTCAAGAGAATAGGTTCAAGTCTAGGCGAGGGCCGTCGTCCGGTGGCCGGTACGAGGTCCACGGAGGTCCCAACAGCTCGGTTCCAATGCTGAGCGATAACTACTCGTACGAGTAGGGGACTCCCGGAGGACTAACCAACTCGTGGGACCTATTCTTACCCCATTATTAGGGTCGCAATCACTAAGCGAGGGAGAAAGAGGAAGGTCGCGTATGGGAAATTCGCGCCATCCTCACTTAAAGTAAGGGGCCCCATGCACATCTTGCCTAGGCACCCGGGCGGTGTGCTTGGTCGCCCAAGACTCAAGCTCGAGAACCCGACGGAAAACAACCTGCCCCGAAGCTGGCGATTGATGGCTTTCTGGGAGCCATGTACAGTAAATTGTCTGGTCCTGCAGGGGGCTTTCACTCTCATGACTGCATAGGAAGGGCCTACAGGCTATGCGACAGATTGAGAGCCGTGCTTGACACGCATACTGTCACACCGAGAGGACGGAAACGACAGGGAAGCAAAGCATGATCGAAAATCAGTTGATTGTCTTTGTATGCATTCAGGTAGCCGCCTTCCCTCACAAGAGAAAAATCTTCTGGACGAAGTTCTTTGACACGATGAAGAATAGCTGGGTCCGTAACCAAGTACAATGGCGCAGTGCAAGGCACATATTAATGACTCGTGCTGCCCCTCCCAGTTGATGGTGACATGAAAACCTGTTGCAATCAAGGCTGTGTGAACTCGGACACAATTCGGAACGCCGTGTGCGCCGCGTGCTTTTGGTAACTCTGAAATCAAACCCCAGGCTGAGACTCGGTCGAGGGCTCCATGGTGTTTTGCACAACACTCAACCCAACGCGATTACATGACACTGCAGCATCCTTCGCTTCCTCCAGACTGAGGGTTGTAAGGATCTTCCTTTCTGTCAACCTGTCCCCAGACCGAAGGCACCATGTAGTCTCGTGTTTGATTGCAGTAGTTGATGAGGCTGCGCGACATGGTTAGTAGACGGATCGCGTGTGTGGACTGGTGCGCCATACCTCATAGACGCTTCAGCCACTTTAACGCGAGGCCGCTCGAGGTCTTCTTTGAGACGTGAGTTGAGTTCTTGGAGCCGTCTAAGTTTAAGATCTGCCATGCTTTGTTTTTTGGATTTGGCATCACCCCCATCCCGCACCGCATATGCAGCTGGCATGTTGGATTGTTGCACGGGTAGAACTCGGTGCGATCGAACGCGAAGGTGTGGTAGTCGAGGACGCAAGTGACTTCGAACTCGTTGCGGAGGGCAGGATGCTCAAAGTAGCCTCTGCGGATGGCAGTGCGGTTCTTGAGAGGGAGACGACGATTAATTCGGCGAAGAGTTGGGCGTGGGGCTTCTTCGGCTTCGAGCTTTGGTGGCTTCCGGTCAAGGGCGTCGAGCTCTCCGGCCTCGTAGCGGTCGAAGCGTTCCTCCCACTCCTTTTGCAAGTGTCGGATGCTGCGAGGGATGTCTCGGACACGCCACGCAACAGAGTACTCGCGAGGGAGGTGGATTTGGGCAGGATGACGGCCTTTGAGGATGAGGGCTTTGGTTTCTGGTTGAGTGGGTGCAAATGATTGCAGGTGATTAGCAGGGGGGAACTAGAAACCTAGAGGAAAGGGGGCCCTTACCAGCGTCCATCTTGCTTTGGGTTAAGCGTGCAATGTGACAGTTGACTTCGGTGGCGCAAACAAACAGCTTGGTGAAAAGTGCGCAGAAGTGCGGCGGCGCACTTGTTTTGGTGCTACTCCGTACAGAGGATCACAACAGCGCTGTTGGCAGCCGCCGTCGCACGGAGGAACGATTCTCCGCATGGCAAGCCGTGCCAAGATTCACAAAACCGCAACTGCCAGTGCGAATGTGTCACAATGGGACTCCTCCACGCAGGCACATCAGTCATCTCCGGACAAGACTCTGATTCAATCAATCGAAGAGTCTCAAGGGATATCATTGACTTGATCATCTCGTCCAACCACCGTCAAGATGCCGCCGCCGTTACATACCCGGCCTGAGAATGTGCTCAGAGTAAGGCGAAAAACCTCCTTGATCTCTGGCTGATCGCACAATAACTGACGAGCGTGATAGCGGGCGCAAGAGCTCATTGCTGTCGATCAAACCCAAGCAGCCCTCAATGTCCTCCACGAACATGTCACCTCGAAGCGCTCCCGGAACAGCGCCATCTCCTCGCTGGAGCCGGTAATGCTCCTCTTTGTCGAGCTATGCGTCGATCTGAGAAAAGGCAAATCCGCAAAAGATGGACTGTACCAGTACAAAAACATTGCCCAGAACACCAATGTGGGCACAATAGAGGTATGGATACTGCAATCCTCACACAGGATTCGTTCTGACGGTTTCCCAGTTGGTCCTCAAAAAGTTCATCGAGCTTGCGGAACAAAAGGTTCAGGAGGCTCAGGCCAAGGCTGATCAGGTTCAATCTTCGCTCGAGTCTGCTACCACATCGACCCAGCTTAATGTGGAAGATCTCGAGGCTACCGAGACTCCCGAGACTATCCTGCTTGCCACTGTCTCCGGGGAGCAATCCAAAGATCGAACCGATCGAGCCATTGTCACACCCTGGCTCAAGTTTCTCTGGGAGACATACCGCACGGTGCTCGAGATCTTGAAGAACAATGCCCGTCTCGAGGTTATGTACCAGAGCACCGCGCATCAAGCCTTTGATTTCTGTCTCAAGTACACTCGAAAGACTGAATTCCGCCGTCTTTGCGAGCTTTTGCGCAATCATGTCCAGAACGCAGCCAAGTACTCGTCGCAGATGCACGCCATCAACCTCAATGAACCAGACACCTTGCAACGCCATCTCGAAACACGCTTTCGACAACTGAACGTGGCTGACGAGCTAGAATTGTGGCAAGAGGCTTTTCGAAGTGTTGAGGACATCCACATGCTTCTGACCCTATCCAAGCGACCGGCCAAGAACGTCATGATGGCCAACTACTACGAGAAGCTCACCAAGATCTTCCTTGTCAGTGACAACTTTCTGTTCCATGCTGCTGCATGGAACAAGTACTACAATCTCCTTCGGCAATCTGCCAACACTGTAGCGGCCGGGCAGGGATTGAAGCGCGACAACCCCGCCGTCACGGAAGAGTCTTTGACCAAAGCTGCCTCCTTTGTCCTCCTCTCTGCCCTGGCTATTCCTGTCATCAGCACTTCGCGCTCCCGAGGTGCTTTGGTCGATGTCGACGAGGCTCGGAAGAACAAGAACAACCGCTTGACCAACCTTCTTAGCATGCCATTTGCACCAACTAGAGCCGGTCTCTTCAAGGATGCGCTAAGCAAAGGTCTCCTCAGACGTGTCCGGCCTGAAATCAGAGATCTCTACAACATCCTCGAGGTCGATTTCCATCCCTTGTCCATCTGCAAAAAGATCTCGCCCATTCTGGCTCAGATAGGAAACGACCCAGAAATGGAGAAGTATGTTCTTCCGCTACAGCAGGTTATCCTCACCCGTCTCTTCCAACAACTCTCGCAAGTCTACGAGTCTGTCGAATTGAGCTTCGTTACTCGCCTCGCCCAATTCCCTGCTCCATTTGAAGTTACGCCTGCTATGATCGAGAAGTTCATCATGAACGGCTGCAAGAAAGGCGACTTGTCGATTCGATTGGACCACGTCTCCGGGATCTTGTCCTTTGATCAGGACGTTTTCTCCTCTGCCAAGGCTCTCCACCCTGGTAGTGCAGCAGGATCAGCGGAGAGCGAAGTTGGCTCGGTTCAACGACTGCAGAATACCCCTGCCGAGATTGCTCGATCACAACTCACCAGATTGGCCAAGACGTTACATGTCACGTGCATGTACGTCGACGATTCTTTCAACAAGTCTCGTCTGGCTGCCAGGGAGTCTGCTCTTGCCCGCGCTGCGGAGGGAGCAGAACAAGAGCATTCCGAGACACTCGAGAGACGCGCCGTCATCGAGAAGAAGAAACAGGCGGCTTCCGAGGCGTTCCAGAAGAGACTGCGGGAAGAGGAAACCCGACGCCGAATCCGGGCACAACAACAAGCCGAAGCTGAATCCCAGCGTCTGCGTGACGAAACAAGAGCTCGTGAGCTTAAACGTGTCAAGGATGAACAGGCGCGGATCCGACGCCAGGAAATCGAAAAGCAGCTTGCAGAGCTTCAAAGCGGCGTCAAGATTGATCTTGCTGATGTCAATATTGACGAACTGGATAGCAACCAGATCCGGTTCCTGAAGTTGTCACAACTGGAAAAGGACAAGAAAGAAAAGGATGAGAAGATCCGTATTACTGCCAAGCGCCTTGATCACCTGGAGCGTGCCTTCCGCCGTGAAGAACTCAAGTACGCGGAACAGGACTACGAGAAACAACGTGCCGAAGACATGAGGATTTATGAACACAACAAGCAGATTGCATTGAAGGAGGCGCAAGAGAAACACAAGGAGGGGTTGGCTCTCAAGCATCGTCTCAGCAGACTTATTAAGCACTACGATTCATTCAAGGGCCAAATCACCGAGCGTCGTTCTGCCGAGTTTGAAAGACTTCGCAAGAAGGCCGAACGTGAATTCGAGGAAGAGAAACGGAAGCGAATCCGAGCATACCAGGAAGAAAAGGCCAGACAGCTCGCTGCACAAGAAGCTGAAGAGCGCCGCCTTCGCGAAGAAGAGGAGCAGAGACAACGCGAAGAGGAAGAGAAAGCGCGCATCGAGGAGGAGAAGAAGCGGCAGCGCGAAGAACGACTCGCCCGACTCGAAGCTGAACGAAAGGAGCGTGATGAAGCCGCGAAGAAGCAAATGCAACGCGAAGAAGAGGCAGCAGCCAGAAGGGCAGCCCGCAAGACGGAGCAGGCCGCACCAGCACCATTCTCTCGCGCGGCCCCAAGAGAACCACCTACCATGGACAACCGCACGGATTCTCAAGAAGGTCCCCGCACTGCACCTCGCATCCCTCTTGCAGGCAAGGCAGGCGGTGGTTGGCGAGAACGACAAGCCGCAAAGGAAGCTGCGGGCCAAGGACCGGCTGCTACTGAAGCTCCTGCCACCGCCTCCTCCCCAGAACCTCCCCAGCCAGCTCCAATTCGTCGATCAGGCTATGTCCCTCCTCATCTGCGCGAGGGAGGTGGCTCCCGACCCGCCGGGGAGGCACCTCCATCTCGTGATCGCGATCTTCCGCATCGTGGCGCCTCTTCTTCGCCGGCTAATGGTGGCCCTGCCCCCAGCGGCCGGTACGTACCTGCACACATGAGAGATGGAGGACGCAGTTTGTCACGGGAAGGCGCTGGGTCGCCAGCCCAAGGCAGTGGTGATGAAGGTGCGCGACCAGAGAGAAAGCCTGCTTTGGGCAGTGGCGGCGGTGCGACTGGTGGACGGTACGTGCCGCCTAGCATGCGCAACCGTCAGCAGTAGAAGACGAACGTGGCTTTTCTTCACGGGCTCTTGGACAAATTGTACGCTGGCTACCCTGGAGGAGAGGTCGTGGCTCAGTCGTAGGGAACGTGTCCGGTGTGCCGGGTCTTGTCTTTCTCTGCCTAAAAGTATGGCTGTGTATTTTAGTTTCCGGCGCACCGTGGTGTCTCTCTTCGGGAGGTGGCCTGGGTAGCTATCTAGGTGAGCCAAGTAGCTAGCTAGGTGCCCGGGCTCGCCAGGCTGTGATAGCACATGGACCAGGGCTGGCTAATAAATAGATCACTGACATTGCGCTTCGTTGATCATAAGTGTACCATGCTTGGTTGTAACGTCTACCTCACGTCATTCACTAAGTTCATGCGACGTGTTCTCGTACCACTCACGCCTGCCACGCGTCGCAGCAGAGCTCCGACAATATCATGCTTGCGCAGCTTTGCTTCAGATCAATTGACGCTCTCTTAACGTGCGTTGCCTCTGGTCAACTTGAGCTGGATCGATTATACCTCCACTGTAACTTCCAACACGACCCGTCCTATACCAGTATCCTTTCTCTCGAAGATGACTTGACTTCTTCCGCCCAGATGCTCCACCTCGCGCGCGAACTCGTCAACGCCGCCTCCGACGCCGAAGTAGACTTGCTTCGCGGCGAGCCATGCCTTCGCGGTGCCAGTCTCGGGACTCTTCGGGCCATTTCGTTGTTGGTGAGTTCGAAGCAGGCTGATGAGTGTCTGGGAGAACGTCTTGATCGAGGCAGGAGAGTATATGGTTTCGGAGGCCAAGATGAGGAGGTGAGCAGGTCTGGTGGGTGGTGGTGATGATGATGTCGCGGACGACGAATGTGAATGTGAGTTGATGAGGTCGACGAACTCGGAGCCCCATCCCCCAGAAATGAAATCTACCGAGACCTTGTGGGCGAGGAGATCCTTGACGGTCCCACGGACGAGGGCGTCGCCTCCTAGTCCTTCGAGGTCGACGTCCCCCTCGTCTTCGTTTGCTTGATGGGATAACGATAATGATGATGTCGACGACGTCGACGACCACGCCAGAGAAGCATTTCCCAGGGCAAACAGGTAGTTGAGGAGCACGTTCGGTGCTGTGGCCAGCCGGAGGACGTCTACGTTGTAATCGCATAACGTGAGTTTCAGGTGTCCGTGGTTTGGGGAGTCGCCACTCGTCTGTCTTCTACGGAGAAACTCTCCCAGGATGGTCAAGCTGGGAATGGCACTTCCGGCACCGAGTTCGATGATCTCCCAGTCCTGCTTGCCGTGCTGGTCGATGGGGAGTCGGCTGAAGGGACTGATGAGTAGAGAAGCGAGGTCAAGGGCGCATTCCCAGGTCTTGAAGCCGCCCTCGTAGATCCCGGAGGAGAGGTCCCCGTTTTCAAGGCCCGCCAGAAGGGTGTCCGCAGAATCTGATTCAGAGGCAGACGGGTTCGCTTCGGCCATGAGTTGGGCTCGCATGTCGAAGAGAGAGCGGCGGTAGATTTTGATGGCGGTGTTGTCTGTCGAGATGCCGCCCTTGGAAGAGTCAAAGGAGGATTCCTTCCGAGAGCTGCTCTGTGGAGGGACACTGAGGATGTTGTATGATATTTGAGACGGCAGGGATGCTAGCTGGTTCGACGCATCATAAGGCAGTTAGGAAATAGATATGAAGCAAGACACGAAGCAGAATGAACGAGTGGCCAAATTATACTCGTCCTCTGAGCCCGCAATGGAAGTACTATAGAGACTTACTAGTTCTTCTAGCGAGTGTCTCTTGGGTAAAAGAACAGGGACGCTGGAGGTCGGCTCTCCGTCAGAGACCGTGTGTACTGACATGCCTTTTGCCAGGGCATCCTGTTCTTGGATCTCGCCATCATCCTCGATATCTTCACCACTAAAGCCGAAAGAGAAGGACATTCCGGACTGGGGAAATCGTCCGATGTGTCGGCTTCAGGTAGGAAAAAAGTGATGTACTGTGTACTCCGTACTCCGTATGTAATGGGTATTTTGAAGCACGTGACTAAGTACGAGGCTAGTCTTAGTGAGGCTTAGTGTGGAACTCTTTGAAATACCGAGTCCGAAGTGAGGGAGTCTCCTGTCCCCGGAGCTGATTCCTGTGAGGTGCCATTCATTTACGTCGAAGCTTTTAGATGGCTGAAGCTCGCTCATTACTGTACTCGGCCCTTTCGAGACTGCCATGTTGTCCTCCCTCCAGCAACGTCTTAGAGCTCGGAAAGCGCTCTGCTAAGTGAGACTCCTCCAATACCAGCACCGGCCACGGAGAGCAACTCCTGTCGTGGCAACAAGATGGCAGGTTCCAGCTAGCCGTACGTCACTCCAGCTGTGGAACAGTCAGGGCGATCTGTCGAGTGCCGGCGCCAACCGTGAGCACAAGACTCCTACTCGATGATGCCACAGACCGTCACGACGTCCTCTTTCCGACTGTGGGAACCGGCCGACAAGCTTCACTTAACCACGAACCTGTATGCTTGGATGCATCGGACCAGTATTGAGAACATATTCATCGCGCTTCTGCTCTGTGGCAGCGTTGTGCCTTCAATTCCAACCAATTATACCCCTTCCTAGGACTTTGCCCTGCTCATTTGCAACATCTACTTCTCTGCCCACAATACCTCGGTCAGCGACCGTGAGATCAAAATCTCTACGATCAACCCCATCAAGGCCATCACGGGCATCGGGATTGACAATCGTAGGGCCTGCTCCTGCGATTAACGCAAAGCGTACAAAGACAGGGTTTTGATATCTTTGAGCCGGCACAGGTTGGGTGTGCTCGGTCGCGTACGTCCTGGCAAGACATCAGCGACGACTGTGACTAGAGGCAGGGCTCCAGCAGAAGCCGCCTGCAGTGGACCAGGACCGCGTGCCTTACCACACAGTGACGTTCAACTTCTGGCCCAGGAACTTCTTCGTATTCCTTGGCTCCTCGCACCTGAGCTCTCCCAGGATCTCACCTCGACATGTGTTGCTGAGCAGCAGACGGCACCAGCACGTGCTGCCAGCAGTTTGGATCCGGTTGTCGTCGTAGACCCGGTGCAGAATGGCGATAAGATCACCGGCAGCGGTATGCCGGGGTTTAGACTGGTAACACATGGCTTCGCTGTATTTGATGGCGGTCGTCCTTTGCAAGTTTCTGGATCGCAATATAAACCCAGCATGTTCCCGGAGGGGCAGATGTTTCGGAGCCTCGTCACGAGATGTGTTTCTTCAATGAATCCCCGAATTAAGGTCCTCAGTTGCCTAGACGGGTCATGGGGCCAAAACTTGCTCACATTGGTTCACAATCCGCTTGGTTGAGCAAGTTTCTACCTGCTGCATTGGGATGAAGATCTTGGACCCACCATGCCATCAGCAACAATTGTATCCTCTGCCATTTATAAGGATGCGAGTAGTTGTCCCTCTCGCTTTCGGGTCATCGCGTTTGCTAACACCGAAAAACTCCCAACAGCATCCTACCGTACGCCGCTGAGTGACCGGGACAGAACCAAGGCATTAGTACCTCGTCTGATCACCATGGCAGCAACTTACGAGTTGCCTCAGCTTCAATACAGTCTCGATGTGAGTGCCCGACCAGTCTCGTACGATGGCCACACCGTGCTGAAAATCATTCCTCACGGTGGACGGTGTGCTGACCCCCATCGGTGTCTCTGTAGGCGCTGGAACCCTCCATATCGGGGCAAATCATGGATCTTCACTACAACAGACACCACCGAACCTACATCACCAACCTAAATGCAGCGCTCGGCGCCCAGGCGGAAGCCGCGTCTTCCAATAACCTGGTGAAGCAGCTCGAGCTTCAGGCCGCCATCAACTTCAACGCCGGCGGACATATCAACCACACCCTCTTCTGGGAGTCTCTTGCTCCTGCTTCCAGCGGGTACAACAACATCTCTGCCGTCGCTCCCACCCTCCACGACGCCATCACCAAGCGGTGGGGCAGCTTCGACTCCTTCAAGGCGGCCTTCGAGTCCTCGGCTTTGGCAATCCAAGGGTCTGGTTGGCAATGGCTTGTTCAGGATCCGCAGACAAAAGGACTCGAGTTGACGACGAGCAAGGATCAGGATTTGCCCAAGGGAGGCAAGGGGATCGTGCTGGGAGTCGATATGTGGGAGCATGCGTATTATATCCAGTACTTCAACAACAAGAAAGAATACCTGAACAAGATCTGGGATGTGACTAACTGGCAGACTGCCGAAAAGAGATACAAGGGCGATCCGAGAGCTGCCTTTGGATCGTTGGCAGGACTAGCCAGACATTTGTAGTGCTGGCACCAGATGTGTTTACGATCTTTGCGAGTGATGGATCTTTACCTGTGATTGGGTCTGCGAGGAGATCTTCTGTCTCTGCCGCTAAGGAGAACACAAAGAAAGCTAATTGGGTAGAGTTAGGGTTCAACACTATCCAACGCTCACAAAGACTCCAAGTTCAAGTGGGCGTAATGTTCCCGCAGAACCGTCTCGTTTGCTGTGGACCCGCCCTGCTCATTTATACTGATGTGCCTACCTGTGTTGGGTTGCAGATCCCCTTCCGTGGCTCAGGTCCACTCCGACTCCCGCTTCTCCAGCCTGACGTCCATCAAAGCGCACGCCAATTTACACATTGACTCGGCATCCTCGCCGACGTCGTTCCACAGCGCCTGCACGTCGTTGCCTAGACCGATCTTTTCCGCCGTGTTGAGGCTTCTGGGGTCGATCCACGGCGCGAGACACGGCCACACGTGCTGCGCCGTCGTGAAGAAGATGTCGATCCCCACGTCTCCGAGTCCCTTGATGGTCTTGAGTTCGGCACGAATTTTCTTCGGGTCTTGCGACGTTTTCTTGGGGATCGCGTTCAGATCACCACCTGCTCAGTCGGCGTCAGTCGATTTAAAGATCTTAGGACCTCGCACACGGGGTCGCAGTGCAAAAGAAGAACCGGCGTCAGGAATCATGGCTCTAGAACGTACCGTATTTGCCCTCAATCAGCTCGGCCAGTTCTCCTAGGTATGTCGCTGTCTTTTCTCTGCGTGTCCAGTGTTGTGATTAGCAAGGACTTCTCGGTACATAGTACAGTCACGAAGTACTTGACCTTACCGATAGTGAGTATATCCGCCCTGGGTGAGCACTTCGGTTCTTTCCTCCCATGTGCTCTTCTTCAAGACGTCCAGTTTGTGATACCCCGCCTGGATGACCAGGCTGGTCGTCTTGCCGGCAATGGCATGCGAGACCCTGGTGGACGACAATATCGCATGCAACAGCAGGGCTAGGAGCGTGTCGGGCGTGGCCTTGCCCGGGTTTTCCAGATCCGTGTCTGAAAGAGGGAGATTGGCGTGTTGCTGGATGAGAGTGTTGACCTTTTTGTTGTTGGTGGGTTTCTTCTGCTTCGGCTGTTGCTGAGTATTAGGCTTGGATGGTGCGCCCTTGTCATCTTCCTCCTCGTCGGGTTTACCCTTCTGGTTCTTAACCACGGCCTTGTCCTCGGGCCCGGCTTGTTCCTTCTTGTGCTGTTTCTCTTTCGGCTCGGCGGCTTTTGTCTTTGGTGCCTGGGCCCGTGACCTCTTCTGTCCGGTCTGGGGCTCGCTGGCCTGTTCGGCGCCGTGATCTTGTGATTTGGCCTTTGCGCGCGTGGTTACCATGGTGGATTGGTGGGGCCTCTACTTTGATCCTGCAGTACCCAGTACACGGTATCTCCGTAGTTCTGCGTACTCGTACGAGGAGGCTGCAATACTCCAGCCTGACTCCGCCTGAGTCGTGGTTCTACGGAGATCGATGTTTGACGTAAGGGTGGCTATGATGTCACTGATACGCCCTGTGCGCCGTGCGAAGTGCTCATCGTCTGCGCGTCCGCGAACACTGTACACAATACGTAGTAGGCCGGGGAATCGCGTAGAATCAACCAGGAGTTCGACTACGGATCCTCTTAGGTCAGTTAGCAGTGGTCTGTCGAAAGGCTGGCGCTTGCGTCTCCCTTGCAATCATCTGCGTAATTTGTTCCAGTCCTTCCCAGGTTCATGCTCGACGCCGCAAAGTGAGGCAAGGATAAACGCGTATCCAGCACCCGGAACATGATCCGTAAAGCCTCGTTATGACGTCCGGCTCACCATCAGCCCCTGATCTTCAGAACAGAAACATCGATCCGCAGGTGAGCGTGTTGGTGCTGACACCGCTGCCTTGGCCAGGCTATGGATGCCAGGGGGAAGCCATCAATCATTGGCCCTTACAGTAGGCAGCCAGCCTCTGTGGGGATGATGGGGGCCTTCTTCCCCAGTTTCGGCGACGAATCGGAAGTCAAATCCGGGCACGTACATATCAAACCATCCTTGTCTTGTGCCACTATCCCCGTCCTCGTAATGCCATCTCTTGACTTCACAGCATTCTTTCCACCATCTGGTGCTGCTCACGGCACTTGCCGATACTTCACTGGCTGTGGCATCACGGGCATCATTGATAGCCGTGACATCACAGCTCACGTCAAGCAGCAATCCTCAAGTATAAATCACTCCTGCACTCTCTTCATCCTCACCTTCGTATTTCGATCCGTTAACTTCAGTCACAATACCTTCCCGCTCACAACAATCAGCCAAATACAACTCCTACACCAACACAACTCCAACATGGCTGACAACAACCCCGGAAACTTCGCCAATCGCCCCAAGGAGGAAGTCCGCGAGATTGCTCGCAAGGGAGGCCAATCCAACTCCTCGTCGACCGGCGACACCGATACGAGTACCTCCTCCAGCACCTCCACTGGCTCCAGTGGCAACACCAACCCCGGTAACTTCGCCAATCGTCCCAAGGAGGAGGTCCAGGAGATCGCGTCCAAGGGCGGCCAGGCCAGTCACAACTCCGGCTTCGCCAGCATGGATCCAGACAAACAGGTAGGTCTCACATAGGTCTAATCTGGCCGACTAGAACCCATCGCTTGGGATTGCGCACCGAAAATGGATACTGACAGTTCATCAGCGAGAAATTGCATCCAAGGGCGGACAGGCTTCCAGCGGTTCCTTCGAGCCAGGCAGTGAGAGAGCAGCTGAGGCGGGACGCAAGGGAGGTCAGGCCAGCGGAGGTGGTAGCTCCTAGACAGCGCAGCCCATCATTGCAGCGCGAGTGGCTCCTCACCGTTGCTGCTTGCGGCTGCTCGATGACTGAAACGTGAGGGAGACATCATCTGCACCAGATGGTGGACTTGTACGAATATCATATCATATGGCTCTTCCAGCGAAGAATCCAGAACTCAGCCCGGAGTAAATTACCGGAAAAATGACGCAGTATCTTGGTTGCTGATAAGGCACACTCTTCATAGTCTTCTTCATAGTGAAGTGAGAGATAGCTGAGCACAACCATGAACACGGGCATGATCAAGATGATGCCATAGAGTTACGGTCCCTCGTTTCAACACACATGGTCCTAAACACGACGAGCAGTGCCATGTTCCGGTCTTCCCTTACACAGTTGCTCGTGATCGTACTATACCGTGGCTGGTTGTGTTAAAAGCACTTCCAATTTTACGCTCGGTAACTCCCGTACCTTGCATTATACGAGGCATTTGGCCGCGGTCGAACCAGCGCTCGTGATGCGCAGCATCTACCCTGCGCCCTCGCTCAACTAAACACCGCCCGGACATTGCTTAGGGACTCTCAGCCAAAGGGCTCTTTGCCCTCAACTTCTCACCATACCATTTGAGAAGGAGCGGCGCGGGCGTCAGTGGCAGAGCAAGACACCCCAAAAGCGTCATCGTCCAGTGCACTCCAATGCCCTCATACATGGGCCTGGCGGCGACGACCATGGTGCCCGCGATCAAATACCGCGCCATGGTGATGCTGGCGAGCGCCACGGCGCTGTGCTCGGTGTAGCTGTCGACGATGTACTCGTAGCTGCTGACGTAGAGGGCCGTGGCGACGACGCCGAAGCAGAAACACGCCGCGAGACCGGACCAGACGGAGACGCTCGCGTAGTCGGTCCAGCCCAGCCAGAACAGCGAGAGGGGCAGCAGCGGCGACGTGACGATCGCGGGCCACAGTCTGTACTCGGGTTGGACGGGCGCGTGGCGGACGTGGTCGGTCTTTTCGCGCGACCAGCGGAACAGCGCCGGCGCCGAGAGCGTGAAGACCGTCGACCCCGCGGCGATGGAGGCGAAGCACGAGCCCGTCAGCCCGTGCGAGAGCCCGTACGTCTGCGTGAAGATGTAGTCGAAGCCCGAGAGGAAGCTGAACAGCAGGATGTAGATCAGGATGAGGTAGCTTCCCAGCACGGCCACCACGGGCTCGTTCTTGAAGTACACGATTGGCATGGGGAGGGTCTGTCGCAGGCGCTGCGCCAGGGATGCTTTTTCGGCATGCTCGGACACGTATGTGTGTCGAGCGCAGGATACCCCCGAGGCCGTGGCGACGCGGCGAAGGTGTTTCGCCTTCCAATCCAGCAGCACGGGCAGATACGTCTCCGGGAGGAAGAGCAGGGCGACGATAAACGCGACCCCGGATATTATCAGTGTCACCCAGTCGGGCCAGTGCCAGCTTCGACGGGGATCCTGGACGAGCCATCCACCCGCGACGGGGGCGAGCATCGGCGCCGCGACGTTGGCCCATGCAATGATCGGGAATGCGAACGCGCGCTTGACGGGCCGGAACTGGTCGCTGACACTGGCGCCGTTGATGCCCAGCGCGGCGCTGGCGAACAGGCCGACGAAGTACCGACATACAATTCGGGAGCCCAGGTTCGAGGTGAATGCGCAGCCGAGCACAAAGCACAGGTAGCAGAACGTGCTCCCCAGGTAGACTGGATTGCGGCCGACCGTCTCTGACAAGGGCCCGCAGAAGAGACATCCGGAGCCGATGCCAAAGAGGTACATTGCTTGCGAGAGATTGGCGGCCACCTTGCTGACGCCGTAGGCCTCGCTCATGCGCGTGTTGGCCATCGAGTCAGCACCGCTGGCCCATCCCTGGGAGAAGATGAGGAACGACAGGATGGCGATGTTCTTGCACCGGGCGGCCAGAGACCAGTTGTGTGGGTCAAGAGGGTCGGCGTCCCCCTGGAGACGAACGACAGTCTCCTTACTGGTACCCGTCCTGCCATCGATGCCATTGTGTTCGGAGTCCGTGTGGGCGTGCTTCTCAAGACTCGTTGGCGTGTGGTAGGTTGCGGTTTCGGTGCTCGACTCTTCAGATGTATGTTGTTGTGCGTTGGATTCGACATTGCTCAATCCCGACCCGGCTTCAGCACCCAAGAGCTTAGTCTCTCCGTACGGGTCGCCGTGTTGGTGTCTCTGCCTCTGCCAGTCCCTTTCCACGCGGTTGCCGATTCGTCGGTACTGCACTACTGACCACATATTTCTGCCGGCTTTCGAGCAAGTTCATTCTATGGATCGTCGCTAGTGACTGTGAGAGGCAGGGTGCGAGATACCTAGGTGTGAGCACATCGACTGCACATTCAGGTCCAGTTATGAGAAAGGCCCAGGGAGATAAAATTCTCATCATGTCTTGCTGGAGTGTCGTGTGACTTGTTTCCTTCTTCGGACGATCACCTCGACACCGGGTCGATCACCATAGATACAAAAGGGTGACGTCAAAGGCGGCGCGGGCTGCTACTCACCCACTACTCGTACTTCAGAGACCTACTCGTACCAAGGAGTGCAGCTGTGATTGGGAGTCAAGCAAGCATGACGCCATGAATAGCTCCGTCTGATTTGTCCTTGCTTTGCGCCTCAGTAACCTTCCACCCAATCCCCCTACCGAGTTGATATCGATGTTGAAGCCGGTGCAGGCCATGCATAAGTTCGAGTAGATCGCGATCCTCCGTCGGTTCGACCATTGGATTTGATGGAGGTCATATCTACTTCGCCCGAACAGGCAGATTTAGATGAAGAACAAGTTGCGCAAGTCCCGACCATGCACTTTCCTGATAATAGAGGCCATAAGATGGTTCCATACCTCTGGTCGGCTCCATGTGGAAGGTGTAAACCCTTCCCCGTACTTTAAAGGACGTACGCAGGAAGTAAGCTCAGATCAACTATTGTCCGCCCCTTAGATGCGGGCGTTGGCGAGTGCCTATAACTGTACGGTATGAGTCAATTGCGGCGGGAGAGTTCCTGCTTGGGGCCAGAGCCTGGGCGGCCCACAGCGTCACTCTTAGGTGAGTTGCCGGTGAGTGACAGGTGAATGACAGGTGAACGACAGGTGAGGCTTGTCAAATCTAGCTGCTATGTATATGCTCCGATCCCTCAACGACGGTATACACACGCAGTCAACAAACAGTCCCTGACGGACGATGGCTTGAGGCTGCAGACATGCGGTCGTCTACGAATCACGCGTGCATTATGCCGCAATCACCGTAGTCAAGTCGTTGCGATCTTTACATCCGAATGTCAAGTGAGCGAGAACCACATCAGCCACGTCCACCAAAAGCACCTCATCCTCCAGCGGAGTCTTACGATTACCATGCAGGGAATACCTCCACACAGTATTCCAGCGTCAACGCGTTCCTGACGGCCGTGGCTCATGCGCCGGTCGACGTCGGGCAGAAAACGTCTCTCGAGATGGATCAGTCGATGTTGCAGTACGCCGTGCGGAATGTGTAAGCCATGGCCACTGACCAGTTTGACCCCAGCCGAGTCTACGAGTGCATGTCACAGCTCGTCCAGGAAGGTCACTGCAACAAGATCTTTGCTTTCCCTGGCCCTCATGCAGAAGGACCAGATCGACTTCTCGAGCGCGTCTCCAGAAATCCAGACGGCGCTGGATGCTATCTCAGAGGAGACTGCTAACGTCAAAGGCGATCGGCCGATTCTTGTAAGTCGATGACTTGGAGCATGACTCTGCGCCGCGAATCGTGCTCTAGGCGCTTTCAGTTATTTTTCTCTGGGAACAGAGCGAGGGCAAGGAGAGTGACCAAGGCAACCGATGGTCATGGAGTTCGGAAGAATCTGCAGCACGGGTGAAGACGAAGCATTTGGCCGATGTGAAATTGCTCATTTCACACAGCGCCATCTTTCTGTAGGGTGTACAAAGTCGAATTGTCTCCCTTTGCGCTGCCGTCTTCTGCTTGCAGGATAGATAGTCAGCCTCGGATGGCGCTCCCAGCGACAGTCAACACGTCCTTCCCTGCCTTCGACAGGTGGGACTCATCTTGACAAAGGGAGCCTCCCGGAAAGGAACGGGTCGGCCGGGTTGCAATCCGGGACGAAGATATACTGTACTAGGACGGTTTCACCGTACTAGTAACGGATCAAGTGAGCATGGCTAATACCCTTGAAAGGAAAGTCCTGACGGCACGAAGACAAGCAACCCAATGGGTAGGCTGATCAAATGCTTCTCTATAAACGATCCGCAATTGTAATTCTAACCATAGCTGCAACCGACATGCCAGGCCAGTCTGGTCTCTCAAGTTTCAACTGGGCATCGGCTTTTCGATTTCACAAGAGTTGTTCAATCTTCATGCAAACTCCACCACATTGCGGAGGGTGCCGATCTTCGATATCGATATCTCCATCTTGTTGCCCGGCTTGAGGAACCTCGGGGGACTCATGCCAAAGCCAACGCCTGTAACGCGAGAAGAGGAGAGGTCAGCCACAGTGTTAACGTAAAATTGGAACCGAGAACAGGTTTTAAGACGTAGAGATACGCATTGCATGCATGCATAGGCACGACAAACAACAAAACACGACCTACCTCCCGGTGTCCCCGTCATGATGACCTGACCCTTCTGCAGGGTCGTGCCCTGGCTCAGATACGAGACGATATAAGCGCAGTCGAAGAGCAAGTCCGAGACGCTCTCGCTCTGGCGCGTCTCGCCGTCGATGATGGTCTTGAGGTGCAACTGCGCCGGATCCGGGATGAGTTCCGACGACACGATCACCGGCCCCACGGGCGCGAAGGTGTCAAATCCCTTGGAGAACCCCCATTGCGGGATCCGGCCGGCCAGCTCGGGATCTCGTTGCAGCTTGCGCGACGAGACGTCGTTGCCGGCCGTATATCCCGCGACGTAGTCGAGCGCGTCTTCGCGGGAGACGTCCTTGGCGTCACGGCCCATGACGATGCACTGCCGGACGGAAAAAAGAGTCAGCGGCGAGACCTCGTCGTGCGATCTGACATCAAACTGTGCGGAGTTACGGGTACGTACCAGCTCGCCTTCATAATCTGCCTGCTCATCCTGCGCTATCTTGGGGATCACCACCGGGGCATCGTGGTCCTGCAGACAGGTGTTTGGTTTGAAGAAGAAGAACGGGAACGGCGGGGGTTGTCGTCCCGCTTCCTTGACTACACAAAGCCCAAAATCTCAGCTCTACTGCTCCCGGAACGTGTAGAAGTCACCTCATATAGCCACTCGGGATGGGGATGGGGATCAGGATTGGAATCGTTGATTCATTCATTTAGGGCAAGGTAAGGGCAAGGACGCGCGTGCGCGTGGTGGAAAACGTACTGTGCTTTGCATAGTTCAACCCGATGGCCCTGATGACCGGGACATCTTCCTTCGTCAGCGGTGCCAAGATCTTCTTGACACTCACCACCTCGTCGGTCACTTTCGTCTTGCCGGACGTGTCGAAGATGTCGTCTCCAGTGATGACCTTGGCTTGCAGCTTGTCTGCTTCGGTCACGTTGCCTAGGTCGAAATCTTCAGACGGCAGAATAGGCTCGCCGCGCAGGGTTCGTCCGTCTGTGGCGACGAACCGGATCAGGCGCGTCCAGGGGAGCTTCATCGTGTGTAGTCCTGAGATGATACTGATGTTGATGCCGAGAGACAGAGATTGTGTGTGTTTCTGGTCTCTGACTTGTCGATACCCTACGTTGAGGGTCGTATCGACAATTAAGTGTGTTTGATAATGGCGTCCACGACAGCTTGTGGGGCCAGCATTCGTGGAGGGATGAAGGGCGGGGAAAGAACGGACCCGATATCGGTCTTAACAGGACTGCCCCTCGGAGAGTCACCACCGCCAGGGATGATGCCACGGAGCCCCTTCTTGCGGGATTCAGGGTCTCTTACCATGGTGGACTTCATTTCCGGGGCCACATTGTTTCCCCACGGTTTGACAGCAGCAGCAGCAGCACGGTACGGACGAGGCTACAGAGCATCCATTTCTGACAAAGTATCGATTGCTGCGATGTGACTATTGCATTTGCACGTCTGGTCTGGCAATCTGCCTCCCCCTCATCCAGCCATCATGGCCGTCAAGCCTGGCTCTACGCCCACGAGATCGGCAAACAGATCAAGACTGTTGTCCGCCCAATATGGCTGCATGCCCATATCATAGAATGCGAACGGGTCGTCTGGACCCAGATTCTGCACCACGCCGTTGATGGCGACAGAACCGTCCACAACACCCTGGGGTTGCACCTGGGCGCCGCTTTGACCGTTGCTCTGTGCCGACTCCCCCTGCTGGCTGGTGGCTAGGGCAGATAATGCCACCGGCCCAAGCTCTGGGTTGCTCTGCACGAGCGTCATGCATATCTGCACGAGCTTCAAAAGGGTCTTCCTGATGCGCTTTGCGGATTTGGTGCCTTCGCCGAACCGCTTGAGGGCTTCCATTGCCCGTCGGAGACGAATGATCATCTCGACGAACTTGGTCGGGTCCGGCGATTGAATGGCGATCATGTAAGAACCATGTAACGTCTCTGGGTGGGAGCTGGTGAGCTCCAACAGGATACAGCTGAAAATCACCAGTGCGGCATTAAATGCTTGACAGGGGCATTAGCAGACAATTCCGGAATGGCATGTGTGCGCTTACTGTAGTACGCTGTGAACCACCAGGCGCCCAGTAGCGCCGGCGGCTTGCTCGTCTTGTACACGATGTCCACGATTTCCATGGCCGATTGCTGGCAAATCCGGACGCTTCTGTCCCCGAGGTCGTTGAAGAAAGGGTCTTCACGTGCGAGCGACTCGGCCGTCCTTGGACCGCTTCTTTGCCGGAGGAAGGCGCTCAGGATCGGCCTGTGGAGGAGGATCCGAGTGTTGAGGTAGCGGAGCGTCAAGATGACGCTGAGTCTGTCGAAGACCGGATCCCATGTGGACACCGATACACCCTCAGGGTCTAGGGTATCCCACGGCCTCCGCAGCAGCTGCGGGAGGAGCTTGTGCTTCCATGCGGCGAGCTTCTGTTCGAGGACGACCGTTCTCTCCACAATGGTTGGAATGGCCAGACCAGCGTCGACGTCAACGTTGTCGGCGTACAACTCGGAAATGATATCTCCAAGGACATAGTACAGTTGTCTGCCGCCAGGTCAGCTAATTGTGGAAACAGAGTTGGTCGTGGATGCGTACATCGTCGCTGTAAAGAAACAGACTGTGTCTGGAGGATCTAAGCTGCTCGGCCCCGCGGTTGAGCCTCCCAACATTGTCAGCTTCTCCAGATTTTGGTTGACAGGGAGATCAAGTTTGACAATGCAATTTGGCATCATGCAGGGTCGTCCAAAAGTCATGCTCAGCGTCCTACTCATGAGTGAGTGCTTGGAGTCTTCTCATGGTCAGACAGCCTACCTGTCGAGGATCATGCATCCAAACCATGTCCGTTTGCGTATCTCGGCCTCAACCGGGCTCAGTCCAGAGGAGGCTGTACGTGAGTGTAGTCCCAGCTGAATTGCTGCTCGGACCGCAAGTCCATGGAGGTTCCAGGCTTGGTCGGAACGCTGAGTGCCTTGGCGGTACTGTGCCATCAACAGCAAACACTGCACTACGGCCGATCAGCCGAGGGATTTGCTGGCGCCGACTGGAGAGGAAACCTACCTGTCTCTAAACTCGCCGTCTTCATCTCAATCTCGGCCGACAAGGCCTGTGCCCGCTCTATGAAGATCTCCGACTCGGCCGCGTTCTTCTCTGCTGACTGATCGGGTCTCGCAGATATGTATGTCGCAAAGGCGAAGATGACATTGACCAGGCACAACCAAGACCGACTCACGGCTGTAAAGCGATTTTGTCGCGCTGTAGAGTACGTCCGCAGAATGTCCTGCTCGTGGATATAAGGGAAGAGCATGCCAGTGTCGGAGAAGAACAGCTTGATCAGGTGCTGTGCGCGGGCTTCTGCCGGGAGCGATCGAACGTTGATGTGCTGTCGCGCGATCGGACTGGTCTCAGAAAGGGTGGTGGTGACTGGGGACGCTACCCGTGACACAATGGACTGATTCACCTCATTCTCTGAATGTCGAGATTGACCTATCGCCCTCAGAGTGGCCGATGTCGCGTCCGAGATGTGACGCAGTAATGCTATATTCGACGAGGGACCGAAAAACCGCGACTCGGTCTCCTCCGGGTCGGTGATGGCAGCCATCCCATCGACGGAGTCCTCAGCATTCGGCTGGACCAGGTCGCCCTCGCCAAGGATCGCGACATCCTCATCGTCGTTAGACGCCTGTCGTGGTGCGTGAAGAGAAGTGGCAACTCGGCGAGGGGAGCTGTTTTGGTCGGGGCTCGACTGCACTGGACGCTCTCCTTCCCCTGCAAATGTGACCTTCTGGTTGACAAGAAGCCGCAAGGTCTCCTCGATGGCTCGCAGTCTCTCATCGTAGTCGGAGGTAGGCTGGACAGGCTTGACGTTGCCCGCGGCGGGTTGCTGGTACACGCACTCGAATCCAAGCTCGACGCAGAGGCTGCAGGCGGGTCTGGCGCCATTGCACCGAGACTTTCGGTTCCGGCAGGAGGTGCATGCTAGCGCTATGCGGCGTCGTTTGTAGGATGGTTGTGGTGGTGTTGCTGGGTCCTGACCCTGCGCCTCCGCCTCTGAGGGTCTTCGGCTTTGCTCATCCGGCATCCTGCGTCAATCGCCTCTGGATAGGAGAGTGGTATGACCCGTCACGTGGCTGACTGCGACACCACCAGACGCGATTGCATATCTAGGTGGGAATCGTGTGCTGAAGGGGATATCGGGGAAGGAGGTGACTTTAGTACGCTTAGTTGACACGACTGCAGACTCCGCAGAGCACTGATCTCCCTTGCCGCTGCCTCCTGTTCCTGTCACGTATGAGCCAACAACACGCGAATTGCTTCAAATGCAATGGCTGGTACACGATGTCTCTGGTCTGGGCACGTTGACCAGGCTGTGTCTGTTCTCACGGCGCATTTCGACAGCCGCGGCATTAGGAAGAGGAGGAGGAGCTCGAAATCTCCTTGCCAAGCCACAGCCGATGGTTCCCCGCACGAAAAACGTCTGTCAGACGAGCCACTTATAGGGTGGTCGTGGGCCGTCTCCACATTAAGAACCTGTCTGACCTGCCAGATTTGACCCTCACCTCACTTTGCATTGAGCCTTCGTTCATCTCCTCCTCACTTCATGCGTTACTTTTGCACTCGGAAGCGGCGGACGCGGCGGGCGCAGCCCAGAAGAAATCCAGCCTGCATGCTGCATGCTTTCTAGGCTTGGCAGCACTTAGTCATAGCGTCCTCGTCGAGTGCGCGTGACTCGAGCCGCGCAAACACGTCCTTCCTCGTACGAGTCAAGCGGAAGAATTACACTTCTACATTGACCGGCTGAACAGAATGCACAACCAATTATCGTCTACATACGCCAGCATGGCTTTTGCTAATCGCGATATCTCCCCTCGACCTCTGCTAATGTCAAAGCTTCCGACCGCACCTTCGATTTGAGGCCGTTTGCCCGCCAACCATTCAGCGGCTGAGGGTACAACGGAATGATTCCGTCCACCTGGGCATCGTGTGCCAGCGCAACGAACACGCTCTCGCTCGAGTGTAACGACTGAGTCTTGCGGATCGTCTCTCGCGCGCTGACTGGGTCTTTGTGGAACCCTGGCTGCCCGTTAGGACCCACGTCGACGCTAATATCACGAGTAGGGTCGTCCAGCAGGTTCCTGTGATGACAACAGTCACCTCCCATAGCGACCCATTCGTCTTCACCGGTGTGCGCGAGTGCCATTTGGTGGCCAGGCATGTGACCAGGAGCATCCAGGATGAGGAGAGATCCGTCGCCGAAGAGATCGACACCTTCGTCAAAAGAAAAGCCGGATGGCACTGACCCTGGCTTGAACTTCTGGTAATCTGACTTCTTCAGTTCGGTGAACCCGTCGTGCGCAAGAACCGAGCCGTCGAACGGCGAGCCATCAGCCATGGGATAGCCTGGCTGGATACAGTCTCGGGTCCCGGGGCCCACCATGATTCGAGCGCGGGGAAACCGTTCCACGTCTCCCGAATGATCGAAATGCAAGTGGCTCAGTACCACAATTTCGACCTGGTCGGGGTGGACAGGCCCATCTGCGAGCAAGTCATGGGCATCTTTTGGAACGTATGGCTCGATCACTGAATAGTCCTCCCGGATCACTCTCGGATTTCTTTCCAGGTCCTGTGTGAGACCGTGTCAGCATGCGCATTCCAGAGACGACGGCAGGTGTTCTAGGAGATAGTGACTGACCTTTCGCATACCCAGATCAAACAGTACCTTCTTGCCAGACGGGTGACATATCAGAAAACTATAGTCTGGTGACAGATGACGGAGCCCTGGCTTGCCATCGGAAAAGATCCAGCGGTCAGGCAGCCAGAGATAGCCGGTAGGAAGGACGTATACATCCACTTTCTGCAAGGCGGCCATTGGGACGAGGTGACTGTATTGGGGCGACTGGAATATTGTCAGGGATGGTAGACCCGTCTGATATCAACCATCAGCACCTCGGCGGAGAATCGTTTTCCCCTCCCCATATCTCCGCATACCCCGTGTTTGGCACCGGGCTCGGCTTTAGGGGTTCCTACATTCGCCATCTCCTTTCCGATCCACACCCTCGCCCCTAGAACTCGCACTGACATGATCGAAAGGTGCGAGTGACCGGACCTGGCGTCGCCGAGAAACACATAAGTCCAACATCAGCGGTCCTTTCTGCCGACGTGTCGACCTGCTCATCGTTGTTTGAGCGAAACGTCTCTGTCGGAACAGTCACTTTCAAAGAAATTGAGCAACATGGAGAGGATTGATACGCACGCTCACGTGGTGCCTGAGGTATGGAGGAAGTACACCAGCGAGCACGGCTATGACCGACCCGACGGTATGCCCGCCATCCCGGTGAGTATGTCAGTTCCCCGAACAACGCCTAGGCTCATTCACTTTCAGGCGTGGTCACCAGAAGCCCACATTGACCTGATGGGGAAACTGGGAATCACAAAGTCTATACTCAGCATTACCTCGCCTGGGACACACTTGAAGGCGCACGATGATGAACTGGCCCGAAGAGTCACCCGCGAGACGAACGATGAAGTCGCGAACATCTGCCGCTCTCATCCCAATAAGTTCGGCTTCTTCGCGTCCCTGCCTCTGCCAGATGTTGCCGGGTCGATCGAAGAAATCGACCGTGCTCTGGACGACCTCGGCGCCGCGGGATTTGCTCTCATGACGAATGCTCACGGATACTACCTGGGCGATCCTCATTTGGACGAGGTCTTTGCGAAGTTGAATGAGCGGAAAGCAATCGTCTTCATGCACCCGACCTCCTGCCGTTCCCACAAGGCACCGGAAGGAGAGAGGCCGCTTTCGCAGTACCCGGCACCCATGCTCGAATTCTTCTTCGACACCACGCGCGCGGTCGTCAATTTAATCCTGTCCGGGACCGTGGCGCGCTATCCGAACATCACGTATCTCGTGTCGCATTGTGGCGGAGCACTCCCGCCTCTCGTGGAGAGATTCTCGTCGTTCTCCACCACGATTCTGGGTGGAGATGCGGGAGTGGATTCAAGCACGGTCAAGAAGCTGTTCAAGTCCAGGTTCTATTTTGATCTGGCGGGTTTCCCTTTTCCTGATCAGATCCACGGTCTTCTACGACTTTCAGATACTTCACGGTTGCTATACGGGAGCGATTTCCCGTACACCCCAGCATCAGCGCTGGGTGGTATGGGCGCTCGCACGGACGAGGAGCTGAAGAAGCTGTTTGACGAACATGTAGTTCAGGAGATTTACTCGGGCAACGCCAAGCGGTTGCTTCGGCTCTGAACAATATAGGCGGCAACTTAAGCAACGAAATTCAAGTGTCCAGATCAGATTCAGAATAAGGTTGTACACCCCGCGGTCTAGACGATGCCTCCTCCGCGGGGTGCGCACAATCCGGGGCTATCGGAAGCTGGGTGCTTCATAAGACCTAGGACGAGCTGGGCCATGGGTGAAGTTAGTTCTCTTCGCCAAGCTGTTATCTCCGCTCCCAGTGGCACACCAAGCCAAGTCGAGGAGTAACACGACTGCTCAAAGACTGCTATCGCCGTCCGAAATTGCCCCAGTTCGTGTTTGGAGACGTTGCGCACTGGCAGTCAGTAGCGCAAAGGTCTCCGTCCCCTTCCACGGTCTGAGATGTTCCCAACAGTAGCACTCTGTGGAGAGTGATAAAGGGAAGCATGCGGCACCGATGACAGCGGCGAGCCAACTTCATTTCACATCCATACCCTTTGTGTCCGAAGCATGCTCAACGTGGTCGAGTCTATGAAAATGCACGTCGAAAACAACATCGAAGAGGTGGAGCGGAAGGGCCAGGACTTGAACCAGGATGTTGCTGCCGCCGACTCTCACGATCCTCTCACTTGGAGTGTCTTGCGCAAGCTCATCCTTCTCCTCGTCGTCGGCATCTGGATCTTGCTGGGCACGTCCAACATCATCATCATTGCACCAGCGATTCAGACCATTCCCTTGGAGTTCCATTCCTCGTTTGACAGCTCCACCTACATGGTTGGAGGCCCTCTCCTGGCTTACGGCATCTCCTCCTTCCTGTGGGTGCCAGTGGCGAACAGGTACGGCGTCAGACTGGTCTTCGTGCTCGCTGCTCTCGTCGCCGGATGTATGGACTGCTGGGCCGCCAAAGCGACCTCGTTCGGCAGCCTCGTCGCTGCAAGGACACTCGCCTCTTTCTTCTACGCACCGCCAGAGACATTGGGCCCTCAGTTGGTCGGCGATGTGTTCCACCTGAAGGACCGGGCCAAAGCCATGACCTGGATCGGGATCTTGCAGGCCAGTGGGTTTTCCGGAGGACCGCTTGTTGGGGCCTTTATCATCCAAGACCAGTGAGTTTCCTGCCATCGTTTGGCTGGCATAGTGTATTTTTGCTGACCTGCCTCCCCAGGACCCTTGGCTGGCGCTGGGTTGAATGGATACTGGCGATCATCACCTTCGGGACTGCGGTCCTCATGCTTCTGTTAGTCCCGGAGACGCAGTATACAGGAAATGCAGCGACAGGAGCTTCGACAAGATCATGGAAAGACGACCTCCGGTTCTGGTCGGTCAGCGGTGGCGGAACACCCAAAGAACGCAGGTATGAAATGACAAGGAGCACCATCGCAGGATGACTTGTAGCGGCTGACAACGCTTTGTCTCAGTGTTGCTCATGGACTCTTGACCATCCTACCATACTTTGGCCATCCGATCGTCATTCTCAACACGGTATTCTTCTCTCTCACCCTGCTGGTCACGACCTACACCTTGGTGAGTCATCCCTTGCTCTCGGCGCCCCTGCGTCATCCCTAACTGAGCTTCCAGACCACCCAGTCCATCACCTACCTGACCGTGTATCCGTTCTCGATCGGGAACTCCGGGCTTACCTTCCTCGCGCCGCTGATCGGGACGTGGGGGGCAATGTTGTTCTGCGGCGTGCTCGCCGACCGTCTCTTTCTGCGTCTCGCCAGAAAGGAGGGCCACAAGCCCCAGCCGGAACGCCGTCTGCCACTTCTCATCGTCACGGGCGTGGTCGGGATAGCCGGATGCCTCCTGTTCGGCATCTGCACGCAGGAGAAATGTCACTGGGTCGCGCCACTGTTTGGATCCTGCTTCGGTACGTTGCTTTTTTTGCCTCTCTCTCTCTACTCCTGCTCTTCGCGGACATATTATTCTGACGCGGGCCACACACCTCTCTTCCAGTGAGCTTCTGCTTCATCTCCTCGCTGAGCATCTCCTTCGCATACCTTCTGGACGTGTACGAAGCCAAGATGGATACCGTCATGGTGATTGACAACGGCATGAAGAACCTCGCTGCATTCGGCATCAGCTACGCCATTGTCCCGTGGAACACAAGCGCCGGGTATACGGTGCCCTTTGTGGTCATGGCGGTGATCCTGCTGGTCGCACACTTGCTGATGGCCTTGGTCTACTTCCGAGGCAAGCAGATGAGGGAGTGGACTGCACGGAAGTTCACCACGACCGGGCCCGTGCATCGTGGAGACGCCTTCTGATACAGTATCGGAACGTCCCGTGCGCGACAGACGCATGAGCGTAAGACAGACAGAGAGAGAGAGGACGCTCTTCCGCGACTTTTCTCTCCAGCGAGACAGGACACCGTACAGTGAGCCGGAAAGTTGTGTGTAAATTCCGAAACCCACCAGGTTGAGCTCAAGCCTCGTCGGCTTCAGATGGGGGTTTTGTCAGCAGTAAGGGGTACATAGGATGGCAAGTGGAAGTAGTATCTAGTGAAGGTACGGAGTACGTAGTACAAAGTACGTAAGACCAAATCAGCATCTAAACGGGAGAATGTGTCCCAGAAGCCTACAGTAGACACAAGCCCACTAGAGCCAGATGAGATCCATTCGTTCCGCACGTCCGCGCTTTGTCAGTGCTGCCAGTGTACAGTCACCCAACAGTACTGACTACGAGTTGCAGAGGTGTTGTTCGCAAAATCCCGGAGAATTAACGAGACCCGCTGTCCGCCCAACGCCGTAAAAGTCTTGGAAGATCGTGGACTTATGATCGGCAAAAAGGGGGGGTCGTGGCCCAGCGGGTCAGCCGGGTAACTGTCGGACTGCCCTCGAGCGCCCCCACCGGTAAAGCCCAGAGAGCCCACCCAGGAGACCCCGCCTCCCTCTTCCTCCCTCCTCCCTCCCTCCCCACCCGCCAGGAGGTAAGCGCGATTCACCCGCAAATTCCACCCCTTCTTGGCAAGGCTTGCTGTTCCTCGGGCACGCAGGGCACGTCATTCGTCACGGCGATGCCTCGTTCCGTACGACCACGACTGTGAGCGGCCAGCCAGCCTTGTCCCCCGTGGCCCGCGCTTTGGGTCTGTATATCTTATCCGCTGCGCGCTTACCCCTGGGTCGGGGGCGAGCTTGAGTCTGCACCGTACACTGGAGCTCGTGCTTTCTAGTACATATACATGTCTATGTCCGTATAAGTCCTCAGTACTCGTAACTGGTTTTATCATCTACCGCTGACTATCGAAATGGCATCATCCATCCCCACGACGCAGACCGCTGCATGGCTTGAGAAGCCACAGCCAGGGGCTCGCTTCCAGATCCGGAACGATATCGAGGTGCCCACGCCGGGCGAGGGTGATGTGCTCGTCAAATTGGAGTACACGGGATTTTGGTGAGTGAGCGACATACATGCATATGCATGATATAGCTGGCCATGTTGGCCGTATGCAGCTGCGGCGCCATCGGCGTGCCGCGGACCGAGACCCAGCGATTGATAACTTAGACCGAGCGACTCACGGAACTGACCGCGTCACAGCCACTCGGACGTGCATAGCGCGTATGGCGAGACGCCCATGAGTACCGACATAGCGGGCCATGAGGGCGTAGGACACGTGGTTAAGCGTATGTTGTCAGGTCGCTGTCTTGAGGCTCCATGGCTCCCGGGCTGATAGCATGGAATCGACAGTCGGCCAGAATGCTCCTGGCGAGTTGTTGAACGCGAAAGTGGGCATCAGGTGAGTTGGTCCGCGGTTTGTGCGTCAGAGTGCGCTCGTCTGTGAAGTGGCACATGGACTGCAGCAAGTAGCCAGCAGACCCGGCTAACGTGGAGACATCTCGCACGCAACAGATGGCAGTATAGCACGTGTGGGAGTTGCGAGATATGCGACGTCAACCCGACCGCGTGTCCCAACCAGGTCAATTCGGGACGGGTGAGTCTCGAGAGCGACGCACATCATCCCATGGAAGACTCGCTGACGTTGCGGCTCGGCAGAACACAAGAGGGACATTCCAGCGTAAGGATCGACTTCGCCGCGGGTGCTCGAACAGGCGCATCGGCTGACTTTTGGCGATTGCAGAATATATCATCACTCCGGCCAAGCACGTCACCAGGATCCCGACGGACTTGAAGGCCGAGATCGCGGCACCGCTTCTGTGTGGTGAGTGGCACTCGTCGTGTGGTACTGTACCGAAATAGACCCTCCCTCACTAACGCGTGTCCTTCCCAGCCGGCTTGACACTTTACTCTGCGATCGCGAAGGCGAGACTCCGGCCAGGCGACTGGCTGGTTATTCCCGGCGCTGGAGGCGGCCTCGGACACATGTAAGTGTGCCCTCCCTTTCTGCCCTTCCATCCCGTGACCCGTCTGTTTAACAAATCTCTCTGCCGACAGAGGCGTCCAGATCGCCGCCAAGCGCGGATACAAAGTCATCGCCATCGACAGCGGCGAGGCGAAGCGCGAACTGTGCCTGAAATTGGGCGCGACTGCCTTCCTCGACTTCAAGAAAGACGCGGTAAGTGAAAAGCGACTGCGAGTTGAGCATTTCCCAAGGACCTATACATGGTATGCCGCCTTGTCGATCCTGACACGCGCAAGTAGGTTGAAGACGAGGTGAAGCGCCTGACCAACGGCTTTGGCGCCCACGCCACGATCGTCACGGCCGGTATAGATGCCGCGTATGAGCAGGCGTTCAAGTTGATCCGGAACTATGGGACGCTGGTGTGTATTGGCCTGCCTCGCTCGGGGGCTCCGCTGCCTATTTCGCCGTTCTGGATGTGTGTGAGAAGTGAGTCGTCCTGCTTTGCCAAGTTCCCTTCATCTATGGCACCCTGGCTCCCCGAAGGCATTGACAATGGCGATACAATTCGTACAGCTCACCTGTTCTGACACTCGTGTAGGCCTCACAGTCGTGGGTTCATCAGTCGGAACGGACGCCGAAATGCAAGAGCTTCTGCAGATGGCTGTAAAGGGCGAGGTCGTGCCGCAGATTGCCGTCTATCCGTTCGAAGAGATCAACACCGTCATGGAGAAGCTTGTGAGGTTCGAGATTGAGGGGAGAGTTGTGCTGAGAATACCTCAATGAGGACTTGGCCAGCGTTCAGCACGGTGGTCGAAAGCAGTGCAAGAATTACAGCTGTACAGGATATGAAAGGCTGAGTGCGGATACTTTACTTTCCTGCGCGTGTCCCGCGGATTCCCTCGCTTCTGCATATCTGCACTACAAGACCTCAGTATCAGTCAGGCCTTCCGGTCGATCGTGTGCGCCGTGCTGGCTCCTTAACGGTGCTTCTCCTGAGCCTGCATTCTTTTCGGCGTCTTGCTTATACGAAGGTGCGATGATAGAGGCGCAAGGAATTGCTTCCTCGCCGATTTGTACATCTAGCCTGTCTTCAAAAATCCGCGGACCTGCCACTTTGATATTCCTAGACAGCGGCACGGTACTTTCGGAGTAATTCTCACTTAGCACATCATCTCCTCAGCAGGACTTGATTATAAGAGTAGACAACGGGCCACAAAAGAAGTATTCGAGCAATGGACGGGAAGGTGGCAATATACATACACATGCGGATCGTACTCAGAGCGGTGGCTGTAGCAGCACCTTTTGCAGTGAGAAAGTGTAGTGCACCTAATGCACTTTCATCGACACCTGCCTATCTGTCGGCGAGGACTTTTGGGCTACCAAAAAAAAGGGAAAAAAGAAATCTGAGAGGAGTGGGACTCGAACCCACGCGGGATTACTCCCATCAGGAAACGTCTATCCCAGTAGATGAGATACTTGAGTGCTAAGACTGAAGCCTTAACCTGACGCCATAACCAGCTCGGCCATCCTCCCAACACGCATCTGGTGCTGATTTGTGGCTAGTAAAATGCCTTAATTGCATTATGTAGCTTTTTTTTATCCCGAGGTGGTTCTTGGGGTCTTGGTATCATTGGACTAGGTGCCTGGAGCGACTATTTTGTCTCCCGTCTGGATCTAGCCCTCTGTGGTCGTCCCACAAAATGACTAGTGCGACGACATCAGGCAATTGAACCGAAGAGTCAAACTCTTCGGTCTCGAAACAACCACCGCCGTGGCGAGGACTTCGATTGTGTTACACACGGAATACACTCGCTGGATTGATCGTGAGACCGAATGTCGCTGGGTGTGTGTACAGTCGCCGCGTGTAAGATCCAAATCTTGTCGATACCCTTGCGGAAGGCCAGCGGCGGTCCCCTCGTCATTAAGCCTCGTCACGAGGCCCTTTCAAATACATAGGCTTGAGAGTCCCGAGCTCTACCCCGTTCAGCGGGAGGAGACACAGTCCGTGGTGTCGAGATCGTGTTGCCACACTGGCTGGGCGTCCTACTCTACCCCTTGTACGGAGTATCCTTGGTTCACCACACACTATTGCAACCTCGCTGACGCTTTCAAAGGGACGATGTTTTCGTATCAAATTTCGCGATACAGTCGCCTGTGTAAGCATTGTTCGAGGAACCCCTGCAGAAGCTTCAACCTAGTCTCACTATTCCATATGTACTCCGTATATCAGACCGCCAACGCCAACAAGAGCATGTTCGCCCAGATCCAGCGCCTAACAAGTCTTTTGCTCTTCTCCCTCCTGTGGTGCGGTGGATTTAATGGCCGTTCAGATCTCCATTCACCATATTAGCATTCGATTTCGATTTCGGCGCTCGCATCTCCCACGCCCGCTTGATCTCCTCCTCTGCATCATAGCCATAGCACCACCTCTGGGTCGTCGGGTCGCTCCACTGGTTCGGGCTGGTGACGAACTGTTTGCCTTCCACTTCGGGCCTCATGGCCTCGTCGCGCGCCCTCTGCACGGGCCCGTCCGCGAAATGCCACAGCTTGCCATTGATCAGACTGGCCTCCTGCATCTGGGATGTGCGCTTGATGCGCACGGTTTCCCAGACGTGCAGCGCTTCGGGCAGCTCCTTGGCGGTACTCACCAGGTCGATGGCCTCCGCCAGTGCTGCGGCGTCCTCGACCGCCATGGCAGCCCCCTCGGACATGTAGGGCACCATGGCGTGTGCGGCGTCGCCCATGATCAGGAGCTTGTTCGAAGGTGCCACCCAGCGAGGGAGGGCCGAGCCGCTGACCAGCGGCCATTTGAGCGTCGTCTTGATCATGTCGATGATCTTGGTGAGTCGCGGGTCCCAGCCGTTGAAGTGAGACCGCATGTCGGTCAGGATCTCGGCCGGGCTCCGCTGGTTCCAGGTCGCCGGGTCTGAGCGGTCCGGGTGCGAAAGGACCATGTTGAACGACTTGCCGCCCGCAATCGTATATGTCATGACGTGTCTCATGTTGCCGATCCAGAGATTGAGGCCGGGCTTCGCTCGGAGCTCAACGAGCTCGGGATGTAGCTTCATCTCCTCGACGTTGACGGTCGCGCGGTAGGCGGCAAAGCCGGTGCGCAACGCTGGTTGGTCCACGCCACCGAGCACTTTCGGCCGTCCTACGGATTTGACTCCATCCGAACAGATGATGAGATCGGCCGTGAAGGACTGGCCGTGTTCGGTGATGATGGACGGTTTCTCGGCGTCATAGTCCACCACTTTGGAGTTGATCTGCACCTCCACGCCGAGCTGCAGGGCCAATTGATACATCGCGTCGTGGAAATGTGCCCGATGGACCACGTAATACGGCGCGTCGAAGTTCTCCTGGAAGTCTGGGATGAGCTTGGTGAGGCCGATGGGGGCGCCGTTCTCCCATCGCCGGAACTTGATGTCCTCTGGCTCGACAACCTTGTCGCCAAGGAATGGTCTCAACCCCCATTTCAGGAGGAGCCGACTCGAGTTTGATGGGATCTGGATTCCAGCACCGACCTGGAGTTGAGAGAGGCGTGAGTCTCAGGTTTTGACCAACGCCACAGAGTCAGGGTCAGAGGAGAGAAGTCCATAACATACCTCAGCAAGGGCAGGGGCTTGCTCGAAGACCGTGACCTTATGTCCCTTCCTGGCAAGGGCAATAGCCGCTGCTAGCCCACCAAGACCGGCGCCAACGATAATGATACTCAACCGCACGGCTGAGAGTTCAGCCTGGTTGATCAAGCTGGAAGCCTGCATTGCTTTGAGCCGTTTCTGTTCTTCCTTCTGTAACTTGACCAAGAAATCGAGACTACCGGTTGGGTATGAAGCCACCTATATGAGCATGAGCATCGGCACCAGCATTAACATCAGGACGGGATGGGCCCGTAAGTAACATTTCGATTTCCTATACCTACCTCGGGTATCTGGATGAATTCCTCCTTCACAGGCGTCACACCCATGACAGGCTGGGGCTTCGCCTGCCCATTGACCGCCACCACACCGGATAGGATCTCAACCATTCTGAATGAACTATGCTGGTCGCTTCTCGTAGATGTGGAACTGTTCAGTCCGTCTTCGTGCAGGTTGAGGATGTTCGAGTATCAAGCTCAATGGTCGTGGACACCTCTACTTTTTCTGTTCACGCTTTCTTCAACTCATGTACGCACGGAACAATACGTATGTACAACAAAGGGTGGTGTCAGCACGAACGAACGACGGACCACCCGAAAAGACCGACGCGCAACACCCGATCTTAACCCACTCGACTCGTCCCGCGGCGGTGGGAAGCTTAAGTCGACATCGAAGGACCACCCAGTAACTCCGGCTGCTGTAAACGATGCGGTGGGAGCGGTCGAGGTGGAGGAAATGTGGCGGACGGAGTGTTTCCGTTGGTCGGGTGTGTATCGGAAAGGGGGGAGAGGGGGGCTCGACATGGGGACGTCGAGGTTGACCCTGACGTTGACGTTGACCTCCTAGCTCCGCCACGCTGCCCCCGCCATCGTCGTCCACTACGTCCATAGTACTCCGTACAGTCGGTCCATGCATTCCTACAGCCGAATCAGTTGAGAGAATTGCCATCGAATCCCTACAGCCGGCCGGTCGGAACCAGGTGACGAGCCTGGAACCAAAAGCTTCCATCTGGGCACCGACGTTTGCTTCCCCTGTGACTGTCCTTCTTCCGTTCAAGAATAAGAAGTCCTGAACTTCACCTGCTAGCAACGCCGGGCATTCATCACATCACACCACAGCGAACCACAATACATCGGCAGAACCAATAAAGCACCAGGGCCACTAGCAGCATCAGCTATATCTATACCCTAATTTCTGTATCCGTTCTTGTCGAAGATAACACCATCCTCACACCACACCATGGGCTCCCTAGGCGACGTGACAGAGCGGATCTCCGAGCTCGTGAATCCCAAATGGGGACAAAAAGCAGACGCCAACGAGGAATTAGTCGACTCGGCCCTCAAGGTCAACACCAAGCCGCTATGGGCGCAAATGGCGAGACTCAACCCGCCAGCGCCAAACCCCAAGTGCGTGCCCTTCATCTGGCGATACGACGAAGTCAAACCGACCCTTCTGCGCGCGGGAGAGGTCGTGTCCGAACAGCAAGCCGAGCGTAGGGTGCTCATGCTGGTGAACCCCGCTAGAGGTATGTCTTGGGCAGAATCGATACTCTCGTATATCCTGATCTTGAGCATCAACCTGTTGGTCGCATCGATGGCCTCATGCTAACGACGTTCTCACCATAGATGCCCCTTTTACCACCGACACACTCTACGCGGGCCTCCAGCTCGTGATGCCCAACGAAACGGCACGCGCGCACCGCCACACCGCCTTCGCCATGCGCTTCATCATCGAAGGCCAAGGCGGCTTCACGGCCGTGCACGGCAAGCGCATCACCATGCAGCGCGGCGACGTCATCCTCACGCCGACCTGGAACTGGCACGACCACGGCAAGGACGGCTCCGGCCCCATGATCTGGCTGGACGGCCTCGACCTGCCCAACTTCCAGCACTTCCCCGTGCACTTCGTCGAGCACTTCGCCCAGCCGCGCTACCCGGCCGACGACGTCGACTCGACCACCAGCCCGATCGTCTTCCCTTGGTCCGCCATGCAGGCCAAGCTGGATGCTCAATCGGGACCATGGGCCTCGGAGGATTACCTCAAGGTGGATGGACGCGAGGGTAAGTCCAGCCAGCACACCATACACAAAACCGCCCTACCCAATTCATTTTTTGTGTTGTACACATGCGCTAACGCACACGTTCCTTCCCCACAGTATCTCGCATTCTGGGCGGTTCCGCCGAACGTCTCAACCCGGGCGCCACGTCGCCTGCCGTCCGCGAGACCGCGTCGTCGGTCTACCATGTCGTGAGCGGCAGCGGGTACAGCGTCATCAACGGCCAGCGCATCGCCTGGAAGCAGGGCGACACGTTCTGCATCCCCGCGTGGAACGAATACCAGCATACAGCAGCGGACGGGTTATCCGAGCCGGTCTATCTGTACAGGTTCCATGATAAACCCATGTTGAAGGCACTGGGATTTTATCGCGTCGAGGGCGTGGATGTTGAGACGCTGGTGTCGGATTAGTCCAGGCTTCTAGGATCTTATGTTTATACTTGATGTTGATGTTCGTGTTGATGAAGGTGAAAAGATGTATCACAATTGTGGAAATCGCGCGCCACTGCGTAGATGTGGTGTAGTGGTTACAACTTCTCCATTCATTGGATATATCAAAATTCGATAACCATCTGATGCGGCGTGATGATGATAGTACTCCATTCGACAGAGCACTGAAACTGACACATTTACAAAATGCACAATGGACGAAACGCTGTAAGTCCATACGCTCCTGTACTCCATAACAGTCATACAGTTCAGAATATTTGATGGTCGCTGCCACGCAGCCGTGTTTGCCCTCGTGTCATGCAAAACGCCTCCAACACCATTGCTAACTTCTCAACCATAAATAGGTGAACGGGTCATGCAAAGACAGCGCCACTTCAATTGCTTCGAAAAGGTGCAAGGCTGCAAGACAACATAAACCCAGCAATCCCCCACTAGACTCCGGCGGACCAGGTGCGCCGAGTAAGACAACAGCATCACTTTCTCCGCTTGTCGGCAAGCGCCATAAGCCTCTTTCGCTTCTCTTCTTTCTCACGCTTCAGCTGGTTTTCCAAAGCCAACTCTCGGGCATCTTCTTCCTTAGCGGCCTTCAACGCTCTCTGTTCTTCAGCGTCCAAGTCGTCCAGTCCAGCTTCCATGTCAGAAGAGCCATCCGACCCGTAATCGTCTTCCTCGTCCTCGCCGTAACCACCCATGTCGTCTGAGACGTCTTCTTCGTCGGTGCCAAGATATTCGTCGTATCTTCTCCGCTTGGGTGGTGGCTTCGCTGTACGGCCAGAGGTGATCCCCATGGTTCCCTTGTAAGATGAAGATGGAGGAGCATGCAAGGGCGGGCGCGGGGCTTTTGGAACTCTCGGCTGATCTGTCCTCTTCGTGGGGCTAACGCTTCGAGACTTGACCTGTTGCTTGCCACCAGGTATAGGCCTTGAACTGCCGATTTTCTCCTTGCTTGCCTTGGCCTTCTCTTCCTCTTGTCGTCGTCTTTCTGCCACCTTGGACACCCTTTCTCGATGTGTTGGCTGATGTTTGATCATGCCAACCTGACTTTGTTGGGCTTTCTCCGTTTGTGCCTGTTTCGCCCTTGCCATCAACTCTGCATAGGACCCCTTTGCTGGGCCTTTAGGAACTGTCGTGGGCGGCGTTATTGAGGCAGTGCCCACCCTGGCTGGGATATCGGCGGTAGCCTCGAGCTTCGGTCTGGGCGCGAACGAACTCTTCTCAGACTTCTCGTTGGCTGGTTTCGGGGCATTGAGTGGAGGGGCAGCTGGACGGTGAGTGACTCTGTTGGTGGTAGTGGATATCGGATTCGGTTTGATGAGCTTCTCTGGCAGCTTTGGTGAGCCATCTTCAGCCTTTCGCTTGACGCCGTTCAGTGGTGACGGAACAGCCGGTACCCCGAGCCGTGAGCCGATCTTGCTGACGTCCGACACTGGCCGCACTCCATTCACGCTCAACGGTCTTGCTGGTAGTTTCGGTGGCGCAGGAGACTTATCGCCGCCAATCGAATTGACAATGTCGCTGAAAAGACTCATCTTGGGAGCCGGGACAGCTGAGTCAGAGGTGGTTGAGGGAGTCAAAGATGAGTTGGGCCGATCGTAATGATATGCGTGGCACTCATATCTGCGTGCAGAGCATGAGTCCGATATATATGTTGTGACCAGTAGTAGGCGCTGATCGGAGCAGGCAGGCGTGGAGGGAAAGGAAGAGAAGGAACAACGAGAAAAAGTTGAGGGCAAGGACAATGAAATAGAAACGCAAAGTCGCAGCCCCCCGCCGCCGTTATGACTTCGCTCGTGCCAAGACTGGTCGAACTACACTAGTTCATATTAGGCTCTAGACTTCGGCAAGCCTTCCTGAATAGTTTCCGCGGTTTTTCGCATCGCACAGTGCAACAATTCGAGCCAGGCACGACCGATTTCTTGACTCACCCACAACTCCTAGAACTTGAAGTGCCAGTCTCCGCCCAACCCAGCGGTTAAATCGATTGTCTCTCTTGTTCGAATCCTTCCAGTTCCCTGTAAGTCGGCCACTGCGCTTTCAGAAAACGCTCCGCAGCTGACCTTGGCGCAAAGCAAAGCAATTCAAAATGAAGCACCTCGCTGCATACCTCCTCCTCGGCCTCGCTGGCAACAACGAGCCCTCTGCCAACGACATCAAGGAGGTTCTCTCCTCCGTCGGAATCGACGCGGATGATGAACGCCTCGACAAGCTCCTCGAAGAACTGAAGGGCAAGGACATCAACGAGGTATGGCATTCCGCTTGGCTAAGAAGAGATGAAGGGACAGAACTGACACTTGCAACAGCTGATCGCCGAAGGTTCGACGAAGCTTGCTTCCGTCCCAAGTGGTGGTGCTGGCGGCGCTGCCGCTGCCCCGGCTGCTGGTGGTGCTGCGGCTGGCGGTGCTGCTGCAGCGGAGGAGGAGAAGCCTGCCGAGAAGGAAGAGGAGGCCGAGGAGTCCGACGGGGACATGGGTTTCGGTCTCTTCGACTAAGTGATCTGCTACGAGACGCATCGGAACGGGTTGACCACGCCAGCTCTACCTCTCAGCCACGAAGGAACGTTTGGGGTCGAGGAAGCGCCATATTGTATGCGAACTCGCCAACACCGGACAACCTTTGTTGCGCAATCCATATGTGCCATGGCTGCAATGGTCTAGGACGACCGGCGACGAGGTTAAGAGGGCCAGTCGCTGCATTGGCGGACATGCAGAGGATTTCCTGCCTGCTCTGAGATAGGAAGAGCCATCTTCGATCCCAATCAATTAGTGAAACCACGTCATTCTCATCAAACCGTCTGCCTTCTACTTTGCATTCAAGCAGTAAATCCATACTTCACAATATTCGCAGTGGGTTCTCATCTCTTGATTGATCTGAACTTCAGAATGCGTAAGGCTGGACAAGGCTGTAGTGGGGCGCCAAGACTCTTCGTCCGCACTTTCAGATTTTGCCTGATCCTAATTTGGCATCCGCACCTACCTTGTCTCTTGTCTCTTGTCCTTGATCCCTCTCTCTCAGTCACCTCAACCCGCAGATCCAGAGATCTCTCAACCGCAATCATGGCTGACGCCGACTACGTACGCTCCCTTGCCCACATACTCCTGATGAGACCACGATGGACTGACAGCTCTCGCATGCACAGAACGCCGAAGAGGCCGCCGAGCTCAAGAAGAAGAGAACCTTCCGCAAATTCTCGTACAGAGGCGTTGATCTCGATCGGTGCGTCGTCCTCCAAACCTGAAGCCATGGCACAAAGGGGAGCAAAAAATAGCTAACCCTCCGCCCTCTTTGGCCCCTCTATGTAGACTGCTCGACATCCCTTCCAATGAATTGCTCAACATCCTTCATGCGCGCGCCCGCCGCCGATTCAACCGCGGCCTCAAGCGCCGTCCCATGGGCTTGATCAAGAAACTGCGCAAGGCCAAGCAGAACGCCAAGCCGAATGAGAAGCCTGACCTGGTCAAGACACACCTGCGAGACATGATCATCGTGCCCGAGATGATCGGTAGCGTGATTGGCATCTACTCGGGCAAGGAGTTCAACCAGGTGGAAATCAAGCCCGAGATGGTGGGTCACTATCTGGGAGAGTTCTCGATCTCGTACAAGCCTGTCAAGCACGGTCGACCGGGTATTGGTGCTACGCACTCTTCGAGATTCATCCCGCTGAAGTAGATGGTGCTGGGGATGCCAAAGAGATATGTATGTGGAGAGATCTGCATGGCGACGAGCAAGATCGTGGCACATGTTCTTTGCCCGCATGAAAGCATGAAAGTGGCGGTGCGGAGTACGAAAATCTCAGTATTGCAATGCATCTGGCATGTTGCATGCTGACGTTTGAATCAGAGGCTGTGAACGAATGACAGAATCTGACACCAGAGCATGGGCATGATGCCTCAAACCAAATACACAGGTCTACCTTCCAATGCTGTTTTCTTGGCCATTATACTTGTGCTTGTTGTGACCCCCCAACGCCTCGCTATGTCGCTTCAAGCAGATAAGAGTGTGGCAGTGACGGTACAAAATGCCGGAAGCTGCTCTTCGTCACCCGATCACCTCCTCACTGAGACAATGAAGGAGTGTGGCGTCTTGAACACGTCGGACTACACCCGAAGCGTGAGCAACCCATCCGTCCCTAAGCGCTTGGGTCCTCGCGTGCCAGGCTCCTCGTGTCTGGCGACAGGGTTGTGCCTCCCGCCGGGCGATGTGCCGATCCATTCGTGCCTTGTATCTCTGGGTCATGCTCAATCAACTGCTCCATCTCGCGGTGTCTGCTCTGAGCACGATTCGACTCTTCTGCTTCCTGCCGTGCCACTGCCTCCTCTAACGCACGCAGCTCACTGTCGACCTCAGCCTCGGCCACGGGATCAAGGACCTCTGGTGCTTCGTGAACAGGGTAACCACTGGAGCCTTGAACGCCTTGCGCGGGTTCGACTCTATTCTCGGAGAGTCCCAATAACCCGTTCAACTCGCCTTCCACGTCACTGACACCGTTCATGGGTTGTAGAATCTGGCTGTCCTCCCTTTGAAGGATGTTTTCTCTTCTCAAAGGTGTCCCCCGTTCCGCAACGACGATGGCCTCCCGATGCCGCCTCCTCAGGTGTTCTTCTTCTTGACTCCTTTCCGCAGAGCGCAGCCTCGCACCAGCTCTCGTTGTAGGGCGGCCCATGGGTTCATCCCAAAGGGTGATGTTGTCCGGCATAAAGAGCGTCCCGGCCGTATCCTCGCCATTGACCATTCTCACATCATTATCTGCGTCTTCATCGGAACCCTCCTCGGCATACACCCAGTCCCAAGAATTTCGCGTCCAATGACCGACATTAACATTCTCTCGGACACTGCTCGCATTTAAGCCGACCTGTCTCATCTGCTTTCTGCCCGTGGGATACTGCATGACGGTGATGATCACATCCGCCATCAAGGGGTCGTCACTCATCCAGGCCATGCGATCAAATAGAAAGGCAACATCCGAGCGCTTGTAGTTGAAACCGGAGTTTTCTGGTTGGGCACAAGGAAAGGGATAATTCGCTAGCCATTTCGTCACAAGACCTGCTTGTAGGGCCGCATCCATGGCGGAGGTATACTTGAAGCCACGCCGGGGATGACTGCATAGCATGTTTGTAAGAAGTGACATCAGAGCGTGTTCTTGTGACGGCCGATATGCGGGTCGGATGGGTGATGGCGGCAGCCCTGTCTCGTCTCCTGCTTCATCCGGAGCTTTAGCCTTCAGACTGGAGGCGTGTCGCGAATGCTGAGGCAGAACGTTGATCAGAGCCCTAACGACAGCAGCGACAGATTTTGCGTCTCTGAATTGGTCGCATATAGTCACGCCGAACGAGTTGTTGTTGAGAAGCAAGCGCAGCGCATTGATGGCATCCTGCCGGCGCTCGTAATTCCTGCTCGCGAGATCCCTCAGTAGTAGATCTCTCGCACGGGATCTGGCCGTGCGACTGGCGACAATCTTGATCGCGGAGTTCCGCAGATCGTAGCTGTACCCATCTGCCAATGTCCGAAGCGTCTCGATATTCAGCGCATTTTCAGAGTCCTTCTGGAGAGTCTTCTGTGGGGAAGGTGGCGGGTCTGGCGCTGGCGCTTTCGCGGCATCTCTCACTCGTGTCAAGAGAGCAGGCACCGCTACGGATGCTGTGCCAAAGCCTAGAAAGATTACAGCCACCAAGAAGCGATTCGAGGTGAAAAACGACATCTTTGGTGGCCCATGTAGGGCTGTGAGTGGGAGAAAGAGAAGGAAGAACATGTGCTGGTGGAAGACGAGGCTGAAGTCGTCGGCCTGGTCCCGGAATATATTCGGCAATGCAATTCATGGAAAGACGAAGAGCATGGTTGATCCAATACTGGTGCTGTCCCAAGTCTATGGCAGAGTCGAGAAGTCGACGGCTACGTAGGATACGACTCGTTGGAGGGAATGCGCTTGACGCCAACATAAAGCGAATCTCAAGAGCTGGGCAGGTTCAGTCGTGATCTGCCTCGGTCGTACCTGGACATCCCTCCATCTCCTCGTCTGCGTATCTGTACTTGCACCAGAAGCAGTAGTGCCACTTGTCGCGGAGATATGCTACCAGTCTTTCTACTTTCTCAGCCACTTCGAGAGCTTCAAATTCGTCCAACTCGGTGTCATCCTCGTCCAGGTCGACATCGACCTCTTCGGTGTCTGCCTTCTTGGCGAGCGCCAACTGGTCCTCCTTGTCCTCGTCTGCATCGTTGTAGTCAGGACGGCGCGACAACGACTGATGGAGGTCGTATCTCATCCTTCGGTCTCGCTCGTTGATGGCTCTCTGCTTCACGAGCGTCCGCCATAGGACATTGACACTCTTCAACGGCTTCGTTTTCTTCGGTCTCGCCGTGTCCGATTTCTGGTCTGAAGATTGGTCTGCCTCGTCCTCCTCCTCCAGTCTCTCGCAGACCTTCATTGCTCCCCACACCTGTCCTTCCATCCTCTTCTCCTCCCGCTCCTTCTGCTGCCTTTCTCGGAACTCGCCAGCCTCGACCTTCCTCTTCTTGTCCACGTCTTGTAGTGCTTCGACTTCCTCTCTGAACTTCCGCTTCTTTTCTGCGTCTGCACCAATACCGGAACGAGAGTCTCGCATTTCCAGCCCGATGGGCTCCAGCAGGCGATCATCCTTTGCCCCTTCTGCCGTGGTCCGAGTTGCGCCCAATGCTGTGCCCGGCTTGTAGCCCAATGCGGCCATCATCTTGAAACCCTTGTTGTTTGTGTCTAGCGTATTGGAGCTCAAAGCGGCTTCTCTCTTGTCCCGCTCCTCTTTTGCGAGTTCGGCTTTGGATTTGGGACGGCTCTTGGCCTCGGCCTCACGGGCCAGTCTCTTCTTTCGTTGGGTAAGTGTTTCGGTCTTCTGGGAGGGCGCAGTCTCTTCAAAGGTCATATTCATGTAGTCGTCTTCTTCCCTTCCATCTCCCGCGCTGTCAGGAGAAGGCATCTTGCCAAGTGTTGTATCGCAAAAGGGCTGCGGTAGGTCTATTTGACATCAATATCATTCGCATCAACTCCTGCTTATAGGATCGTAGCATTGCAGGTCATTAAGTAACCTTTTGCGGAAGGAAGGGAGCAAAGTGGCGAGCCTGGATCTGCCAGTGTTCTTACCGTGTATAGTTCAGTCATTTGCAGGTCACCGTGAGCGGAAAGCACGCACTCAGTGAGCATTTATTACTACTGGAGCTGTGAAGGAACGGTGTCGATGGTGGAAGACGGCAGGACGAGGGATTTTATCACGTGACAAAATCACAGCGATTATAGGTTTTACCCCTCGAAAACTTGTCCTAAATTTGTCGCGAAACAGGCTTCAGTAAACTGGGGTTTTTCTGCGTGCACGTAATTTGCACGAACCTGTGACGCAGTGGTTAGCGTGTCGTTCTTATATTGTATTTCCCGCGTGGAATCCAGTATGACTCTTTCGAGCAATGCGAAAGTCGCGAGTTCAAGTCTCGCCAGGTTCATCCGTCTTTTTGTACAGTTCCTGACGATGTGGATTTGGATTTGGATTTGTTTTTGTACCTCATATTCAGCCAGCACTACGATATCATCGGGTTGTCTCTTCATCGTACATACATATCTCAAGAAGTAGCTGCCATGGGTGCGCACCGGCTTTTGACTATCTATTCTATCTAACAGTCTCGTGTTGAAGTGCCCTGTCCATCTATGGCGACGCATCAGAATATTGAGCGAAGACGGATCCCTTGGTAACCATTGTTATGGTCCGCTCCACATGAAGTGTACCTGCGGTCCAAGCAAGTCTACTGGATCGAGCAAATCTACTTGATCGAGCAAGACTCTTCGTCGGGATAACAGATCGGGACAACAACCGGCATGCCAGACGGATTCAAGGTGCACAGTCACTTGAACGCACGTCCTACACCCAAAGGAGAGGTCGGAAGTATGACTTATACCCACCACGGGTGCTTTTTGAGAGGTCAGCCCGTGCCTATACTTTTAGTAGCTTGCTTCCTAATCTTGGCTTATCAGGAAGGAGGATCTGGGTCAGCCTCCTCCCCTGCGAGGCTGGCGCTGGCTGCTTCCGGTAGATCTGCCCTTTCTGCGGGCCTCGATCCCCGCGGCCGGGCGCGTGATCGTGGGCTCGGAATACCCACAGGGTTGACGCCGAGTCTGAACTGTGCCACTCCGTACAAGTTGAATGGACGGAGTATATTGCATCGCTAAGATTAGTGTCGTGGGCTCCTTTGCACGTGCTGGGAACCTGAGGCTGGGCTTGATAATCATGGAGTGAGCAGGGAGGGGTCATGTCCGCCACGGCCTGCACATGTCCTGCCCCAGAGTGCGTACGAGTCTTCGTATTGCATGCAAAATGCTAACAGCTCATAGACAACGGCCTCCATACCGCCGACACGCCGGCGATAAGAGTGCGCACTGTAAAAGAATACCGTCTTTCACAGGGTGGCCAATATGCACAGCACGTATACGGGGTCCGAAATTGGCACCAAATCCAGCGGCTCGACCAAACCCGGCACAAGATCCTTAGCAGCTACAGCTACGCTAACTCAAACTATGCAAGGCCCTTCCACTCGGTCGATCGGATCAAGAGTATCGAGGACTGGGTATGCAAGATGATCGTCCGGCGCCGCTCACACACCGTGCGAGACCGAGAGAGGCATGGCGGGCGACGGTCCAGGCCATTCGGGGCAGGTGGGCGGAATGCTGGTCGGATCTCGCACAGAATTTCCCTGAATGGCAACACTGCACCGACGACGTGGGCTGCGCGACGCGCATCAAAGTCACATCGACGCCAAGAACGGCAAGGTCATCGGTATCTCGAAAGTCTCAGAGGACTACGAAGAGGGCCTTGTTTGCGCCGCCGAATCCGCAGCGCAGGGGAGAAGCGGACCTGCGCACGCGCACCAACTAATGGTGCACGACAAAAACAAAAAACCGGTCTATCAATCAGTCATACGGGGAATGGAGGATGAGCTAGCAGTCGCTCGTCTCGCTGCCGCCGACTTCTTGGTGTAGCCAGTCACAGTGTCCCAACCCTCAGCCTCCCCGTCCAGCCTTGGGGGCTTCTTACCATTCCATCCTATCTCTCTACCTCCAGGATACCATGTCGGAGGCTGCAAGAGCTCTCCGCTGTCCGACTGATACTCTAGATACAGTCGGTGTCCTCCGCTGGAGATCTCTTGGTGAGCTAAGTGTACCACCTACACAGTGGAAGGGAACCTGTTGCACCTCAACCCCCACCCGCGAGGCCTGACGCTGGTAACATGCCATGCGGCGCACACCGTCGAGCTTCATCTCCATCGTGCTCAGAGTCGTTAATCAGACAATAGTATGGCGATAATGAACAGTAGAGTCATGTAACCAAGATAGGTCTCTACCGAGCAGTGACGGCACGGGTTAGGGGTGAACACCGACTTGGAGGAGTACAAGGATTTGTGTGGTGGTGGCATATACATCCTCATGTACCCAGCCAGCAACGCCGACATCGGTCTTGGCCGACAATCCGATCACGAAGGAGGCAAACTTCTATCTATATCTGCGCAAAGTTGTGGACATAGCCATGACAAGCTGCGCAAACGGGGCCCGTGGACTAGGACATCCTTGTGCAGAGCACCACTCATCCTTCCAAGGCATCGGAGACCCGGGGAAAGAGATGGGGGACCTCGAAGGAACATGGCCGAGGACCCTACTTCCTCATGATGGACCAGGCCCGTCCTGGAAGGTACATTACTCCCCTGGTGTCGCTCTGCTCGAATGCGCAGCTGTGCATCTTCCTGGTTCAACGGGAGCTCAATGCTTGATGCTCGACCTTGACCCCCCTTTCGTTGGCAAACATGACCATGGACGCAAGGTGCCATTCCTGTGGGCAGCGAAGGCAACAGGTTGAACATGATGTCGAACGGGCTGGGGACGACGGCGAGATCGGTTTCGCACCTGATACGCCGTTCAGTCACTTCCCTGAGATGCACGATGCCTTCTTCACCGACGACTTCCCTACTCCATCTCTCGGAAACTTCTTCAGCCTCAGCAACAGCACCATCGCCCTGGGTCAGTCCAGTCTGACACTCGCACTCACAGAGGAAGGTTTGTTGAAGGACGCGCCAGAGGATGTGGAACAAGTGCATGGACCGGCTCGCACGGTTCCAGTTGGGTTCTTCGACTCGAGACTTTCCAAGACACGGGTTGCTATCTTCAAGAAGTGCTCGGCGATTCGTACGTACCGTCCAAGAAAGCAGCAAGCGTCCTCGAAAGTTGACAGGCGACAGTTGCTGTTCTCTGCGTCTTTGTGCTCACTGCCCTGTCGATATACTGGGGTGTTCTCTTTCGCATCCGGGAAAAAAGCCACCTTGCCACCATTGCCGTCGTCAATTTCGACGCGAGCCTGCCCCCCTACGACAATGTCGAGCCTATCGTGGGGCTTTTCGTCGAGCAAGCCATCATGAATGCGCTCGCCACGCAGCAATACCCGCTGGGCTACAAGATTTTGCCACCTGCACAGTTCAACAACGACCCGCTGGCGGTCCGTCTGGCCGTCCACAAGGAGCAGCACTGGGGCGCCATCATCGTGAACAACAACGCCACCGCCCTGTTGAGAGAAGCTGTCGAGATTGGCAATGCATCCTATGACCCGTTCGGCGCGGCCTCTGTCGTGATCACCCAGGCCCGAAATGCCGATACCTACAATCAGTACATCACGCCGGTGCTGACTCAACTTGCTTCTGATATCAGCTTTTCCTGGGGCCGCGAGTGGACGTCTCGAGTCCTCACGAACACCTCACTATCCCCAGTCATCTACGCCAATGCACCTCAGGTGTTGTCTCCAGGAATAGGGTTCAGTATGTTCAACCTTCGACCTTTTGGTAAGTCTAGTCTCTCTCTCTCTCTCAGACATGCCATACATCCATCTGCCTTGTCCTTGCTTTCCCAGTAACTGACATGCACTGACACGCGATGCCCTCTTTAGGTCCGTCCACAGCCGTCCCCCCCGTCAGTATGGGCCTGGTATACCTCATCATCCTTGCATTCTTCTCCTTCGGCTTCTTCACCCCGATCCACATGAGATTCGTGGCCTCGACGCCGTCCGATCCCCATCCACCGCTCAAGTTCTCCCACCTGGTGGTGTGGCGTTACGTGGCCGCCATAACGACCTACTTCTTCCTCTCCCTCTGCTACAGCCTCGTCAGCCTGGCCTTTCAGATCCCCTTGTCGCGGGCGCCTCCCGCCGGCCTCGGGTCGTGGCCCAAGACCGACGTCGCCGACGGTGCGAACCAGTTCGGCCACGGCACGTTCCCGGTCTACTGGATGCTCAACTTCTTCGGCATGGGCGCGCTGGGCCTCGCGTGCGAGAACATGGCCATGATCATCGGCCAGCCGTGGACCGCCCTGTGGCTCGTCTTCTGGGTCGTCACCAACGTCTCGACGGCGTTTTACTCGGTCGAGCTGGCGCCCTCTTTTTACAGATGGGGTTACGCTTGGCCGTTGAGGCAGATCGTCTACGCGACCCGCACGTTGATATTCGGCACAAACTCGAGGCTGGCACTGAATTTTGGCATTCTGGGCGTATGGATGGTCTTGGGCACCATTCTGTTTCCCTTCGCTTCTTGGTTCATGAGGTGGAAGGGAATGAGAGAGAAGAAGAAGAAGGCGGCGGCAAAGACGTGAAATTAATATGACTCATCGACGTTCAGAAGAGGATGCTGTTGTCTGGAGGTACTATACGTTTACACATATACCGACAAAATGCTGTACCGTGCTGTACCGTGCTGTAACCGTGCTGTGACCGTGCTGTACCCTACTGTACCGTACTGCCCGTGGAGCAGCGGCAACGATAAGACGAACAGCGAGCCAATTAACACGGACGCATGACACACAACGCACAGAAGATACAGAATATCAAGTCCCGGACCCATGATACTTGTACTGTATATATATGCCACATAAGTGTCTTTTGCCACCTACAACTACATACAGTAACGTAAATCTTGGCTCGCCAACGGTTGCCTCACGACTGGCGAACAGTGGGCGATTGGGTATATTGTGTAGTATAGCACAGTACAGTACAGTATGTAACATCTGATTTGCTGCCTCGAGGTGTCTCGACATTGTACTCGATCCGTGTACTTGCTGTACTTGCGTGAAAGAGGGTCGACCCGTCCCCCATCGACATCGACAGAGTCAGCCAGGTACAGTTCGCACGCACTCGTACTGTACTACGTACACAGCTACTGTACTGTAGGGGAATGATCCCCTCGCTCGCGGTTTTCGCCAGATATAGTATAAAGCTAAGGTACTATAGTAGTTAGTCCACGTTGGTTGCATAGTAAGAGACATAACGTGAAGATGCATTGTTGTTTTGACATTAATATCCCCTGGCATTCGTATAGTATGTGGCGGAGACATAACACACACATGTACACACGCACACGCACATGTACACACGCACACGCACATGTACACACGCACACGCACATGTACACACGCACACGCAC